CTGAAGAGGGTCCCCTGGAAGAAGATAGCAATGGCTGTGAGGAACGGCTTCAGGTAAGTAAACCTACCTTCCACTGCACCCCACGGCACTGGTCCCTAACTGGAGATATCACCGATATGTAAAGACCTCCAAAAGTGATCTGCTTTAAAAGGATACTCTAAGCACCAAAACAACTTTGGCTTAATGATGTAGTTTGGGTGTTTATATCATGCCCTAGCACTCTCAATTGAGCAGCGCACTTCATAGTGATGAAGCAGGAATAAAATTAAAATAAACCAATTTATTTCATCATCAAAGTAAGAGCCATAACGTGGTAGAAAAAAAAAAAAAAGCAGAGATTCTTTCACATATAAACTCAGCAGGTGTGTGTATCGTTCCCCGTGTCAGTTTGTTTTAAAACAGGTGCATTGCCATAGATCAGAACACAGAATCAGTGTTTTGCCCCGAGGTCGATAGGAAATCGGTCTGTGGATAACAAACAGTTCAGCAAGAAGTGCAAGCTCCCGGCAAGCTCTTGCAACACGAGTTCGGTCTTGTTCATTTGGTATAAGTAGAAAAAAATATCTCAATTTTTAAAGTAGAACTATGCAAATGATCAGGCAAATGCAAGTATTTCTTAACTGAGGTTTATTTCCAAAACTCCGTGTCATTATAGCTCGCAAAGGTCCTTTTACCAATCGGAGGGCCACCACCGGACATTGTGGTACTGGGTTTCCTATGTGGTTTGGCAATGCTGTCTTTACCTGAAACTCACTTGTTTAAATCAGAACTGTCACATCTAAGGTTTTGATCCACTAATAAGAAATAAACTATGGGTTGTGCCCCACCCTCCATCCACCAGGAGGCGATGTGGAACTTTCCCCGGAGAGATATTCCCGGGCATATATCTTGGTGCGAATTTTCACATCGCCTCCTGATGTCACCCGTCCTAGTGTTGCGCTGTCCAATCAAAGTCTTTACATAGAGAAGCCTTCGATTAGACCATTTAGCTGGCTGAGTGCGTTGATAATGTTATGCTGAAAGGGTTAATTCGATTATTTATCTAGCTCCAAAATATTCCAAAGCGCTGGATTCTTTAAACAGTGACCTGGCAATCTGCAACATTTCTGCCAAAACTGCAATACTAGAAAATAATCCAATTCAGATATATTCTCATCTTCGCTATTTCCTCCTAAACTTCATGCAATTTAAAACCAACAAGTTTAACAGGTGAAAAACTAGCAAATTTAGCACCATCTTCCAGTAGAATATCTCCCAAGTGTCCCTGTTTAGGTAGGACAGTCCCTATTTTGGCCCAAATCCCTCTTTTCTAGGAGCTCCATGTTCTTGGTGTGTCTGAGTGAATAACAGAGCTCCACATCCTTTATACTCTCAGTAATGTGTCTTTAAATTACAATAAATGGGTTTAGAAATCAGTCTGTATAAATAAGATACATTGTTCTTATTCTAAGTTACATTTGCATAATGTGTTAATAGTAAATCAGTCAAGATTTCTCAGAACGGCCCCCCTGGCCACACCCTTACTTACACCCCTAAAATTAAAGTGTTGCCCCTCTTTATCCCCTGGAAATATTGTAAGCTGTGCATTAACAAACGAGATGGAGACTCTTAAATGTGACGCTTATATGGCCGCTCCCTGAGAGAGAAAACTGAAGCATTAAAGCTTAAAGGATATCCCCCATGGGTACCCAGGTGAAGGAATGAGCTGGGTGAATAAATCTTACAGTGTCTCAGAGCACAATGTCTGAAATCTGAAACAGACAGTAACAGGCTTGCCATAGTTTCCAGTAGGAAAGAATCCTCCTCACCCTGAAGCCTTTTTTCTGATTTGATCCAATTTTAGTTTTCCATGTACAGAGTAATTAGATACATTCAACAGAGCTGCAGCGCCCTCTTCTGGCATTTTATATAGATATATGTATTCACTAAAATGAGAATTATCGGGAATTCAAAGCAATTTCAAATTCTAGATCAAAATAGCCGAGCTGCAAGCACGACTCGGAGAATATTTTCAGTTCAGCAATTTTGACCTTCAAGTGTGACCTGTCAGGAATTTAGAGTAAATTTTAAAATGAATCCACAATATCCAAATCTGGAAAAAGGCATAAGGCTATCCTAACGATAAGATAAGGCCAGGGACTAATGAAAGTATTTAGAAAATTGGGCAGACTAGATGGGCCAAACGGTTCTTATCTGCCATCACATTCTAGGTTTCTAAAAAAACAATAAAAGTTTATGTTTGGCCCAAAAAAAAATTGAAATTCACCTTAAAGTCCGAATAAATCACAGTTTAGTGATAACTGAAGTGCTGATAATGTGTAGATTTTAAAGGAAGATAGTTAATTAATAGTGGCTTTACTGACTTTCATTATTTGGTTTGAGCAGAACACATGCTCTGCCTCTGTCTATTCATTATATAAATTCATAGATATTTTATATTGCTTTATTATTTATTTTACTAATTGCATAGTAAGTTATTGACTTATCAGTAAAATAACAATATGGATTTCCCCTTCTATTTCAAAGAGTTTTTTTTTTTTCACAAGCACCAATCAGGCCTCTTATAGCAATATATGAATATTATGGGTATACCTATATTTCTATTCAATGCACCGCTATGAGGAGATGCTGATTGGCACAGCGCAGTGTTTTGAAATTACCTGATATTACTAATTTCATAACGTAAAATCATGTTTTTATAAAGGACACGGAGGCCCCTCTTACGCTTAATCTCTTTCTTTATTCTTCAGCAGCAAAAGAAAGGATATTGTAGATATTCTATGAAAATTCAATAAACATCATTTACCCTAAAGGGTTAACTATATATAACATATTAACCAATGAGAGTGTTCCTAGCACAATAATGTCCCATGTGACCTTAAGCCACTCCTCTTTCTTGATGTCGATGAACACTCCCACAGACAGAACGATGTAATCCAATAGATGTACAGAAACCGTGATTCCAGGGAGATTATGGTAACGGAACTCCAGAGAAAACTGGCAATCTTCTGCTTGAACTTGTATGGACAGCCATAGACCAGTATGACAACCCAATTAGGAGGCTGTAAGACAGAGAAACTAAATGGTAAAATACGTTCTTGGATAGTATTTCCATATCTATTTTACAACATTAAAGGACCACTATAGTGCCAGGAAAACATACTCTTTTTCCTGGCACTATAGTGCCCTGAGGGTGCCCCCACCCTCAGGGTCCCCCTCCTGCCGGGCTGGATGGCAAGGAAAGGGGTTAAACTTACCTTTTTTCCAGCGCCGGGCGGGGAGCTCTCCTCCTACTCTCCGCCTCCGATCCTCTTCTTCAGCTGAATGCGCATGTGCGGCAAGAGCTGCACGCGCATTCAGCCTGTCTCATAAGAAAGCATTTACAATGCTTTCCTATGGACGCTTTCGTCTTCTCACTGTGATTTTCACAGTAAGAAGCACGCAAGCGCCTCTAGCGGCTGTCAATGAGACAGCCACTAGAGGATTTAGAGGCTGGATGAACCCATTTATAAACATAGAAGTTTCTTTGAAACTGCTATGTTTATAAAAAAAAAATAAATAAAAAAAAAGGGTTACTCCTAGAGGGACCTGGCACCCAGACCACTTCATTAAGCTGAAGTGGTCTGGGTGCCTAGAGTGGTCCTTTAACCAAAACAATATGTCAGTCCAGTAATAGTCAATCGGGCGAACGAAAAATCACATTACCACACGGCTCGTGCCCCATTATGTGACAGTATATTCACAGGGAGGGCGCAACTTACCTGGATTGGGTGGGATAATACTCGCCTCCGTGTCCTTTATGAAATCATGACTTTATGTCATGAAATTCGTAAAATCTGGTAATTTTATTAAAGGACACGGAGGCTCCTATTATGCTAGTTCAAAGCTACGTGATCACTGAAGTGGAAAAACTGGACAAAAATAAAATTCCTGGAACGTAGATTCGCTGAACCAATCAGCTGCACGGAGGAGATCTTCCAGTCTACAACCTAAAGAAAAGGCTTTTGATGCCATAGCACCCCTCACTGAGTGTGCTCCGTACGTGGAGGTATCAATGCCAGCCGACTCCATGATCCATTTAACCCAACGAGATATGGTAACTGTAGAAACCGGATGGTGCAGTTGTCGAATTGCCAGAAACAGATCTGGATACCGGGAATCACAAACCGAAGCTGTCCTTGCTTCATATTCCTTGAGGCAGACTACTGGACACAAGTAAACGTTATGTGGAAAAGCTGGGTAGAAAACCGATGTAATGGATGTCTTTGTACGTCTCGATATATCATCGGAAACGCCTTCTGATTTAAATGAGCGTGCCGCGAGGTCCAGTGCTTGGACATCTGAGACACGTTTATAGGAAATTAGACAAAACAGCATAACAATGAGCTGTTTGATTGACAGGTCCTCATTCTTTGGCCAATTTTCAAAAAGTCGGAGAACGAGACTAATGTCCCACAAGGCGGAATATGTAGGTTGTGGTGGGCGTGCAAACTTGATGCCATGTAGAAGTTGACATACCAATGGGTGTTTCCCTGTTTGAAGTCCATTCCAGCTTTGGTGGCCTGCCGAAATAGCTGATCTATATAAGTTGATTGTACGATATGCCAGGCCATGGTTGAAAAGTGAAGTAAGAAAACTTAAAACCTGACTTACATTTGCAGATATGGGATCCACGTGTTGTTCCATGCACCAACTATTCCATGCATTTTAGGCATGTAGGTATGACCTCCTTGTTCCTGGGGCCCAAGCCCCTGCCAGGAGGTCCTGAGTTGTTTGTGGAACATTTGGGATGTAGCAGGGTCCCCTGAGAGGAGCCATGCCAAGAACTTGAGATGTCACTGAAGTAGGAAGGGGTGTGAGTTCCCGTTGGGATCCAGTACGAGGTCGGTGACCACCGGTAGTAGCCTCGGGACATCTATGGACATTTCCATGAGTGTAGGGAACCAGGGCTCAGACGTCCAGACGGGGGATATATGAGGATCAAGGAGGTTCGGTGACGTCTGAGGTGTAGCAAAGTCTGTGCGATGAGAGAGAAAGGAGGGAAGGCGTAGTGGCAGGTGTTCGGCCACGGTTGGAGGAAAGCGTCCGTCGCCAAAGCTTCCGGGTCCGGCCTCCAGCTAAAAAACTTCAGCAAATGTGTGTTCAAGCATGATGCGAACAGGTCAATGTCCAAGGGGTCCTGAAGTGACTGTAAATGGCTGAAGATGGCAGGGTTCAGTCACCAATTGCTGGCATCTCGTAAGTGTCTGGAATTCCAATCTGCCACTACATTGGTCATTCCCGGAATGTACTCCGCTTGTACTGAAAGGTTGCACTCCAGACAGAATTGCCAGAAATCCTTCGCTAGTTCCGCTAGTATTGTTGACTTCGTGCCCCCGAGGTGGTTGATATAGTGGTCCGCTGATAAATTGTCCATGCGTAACAGAATGGAGCAGTTGGTCAATATACTTAAAAGACTCCGTAGGGCAAACGATCCTGCTAGCAGTTCGAGGCAGTTGATCTGCTGTCCCTGTTCCTCTAGCAGTTGATATGCAGTCTCCATTTTCCTCCGGTGGAGGTAGATCCCAGCACGCACCCTAGCTGAGCATACTTGCATCGAATTCCACTATGATGTCCGGAGTGGTTCCGAAGATCGCTCGGCTGTTCCATGCTTCCCATGTGCTGTAGCCACCACCTGAGTTTTTCTTTGGCGAGAGGAACAGAGTCAGAGTATGAGTGCCCCAAACAAAGGTATTTGGCCTTCAGTCGTTGAAATGCTCTGTAGTGCAGACGGCCGGGAAATATGGCTTGGATTGATGCTTAGAGAAGGCAGACAGTCCTGGCCAGTTGTCTCAGGGTAAGAACAGGACGAGCAAATGTCCGCCGAATTTCCTTTTTGATGGATTTGACTTTGGTTGTTGGGAGTAGGAGTGCTCTGTTCACAGCATCTATGGTGAATTCTATTGATGACGGACTTCTCCCAATTGGTTAGGAAACCAAGGTTGTCTAGCAGAGTCCTCGTCCAAGAAAGATGTTCATGGAGCAGATGCAGATCTTGCGCCATTATGAGGATTTCGTCCAAGTATAATATGAGTCGAACTCCTCTGCTGCATAGGAGGGCAACAACTGGTTTCATGAGCTTTGTGAAGCACCAGGGTGCCGACGAGAGGCCGAACAATAGGCATTTGAATCGCCACACGGTCTCCTCCCATTGGAATTATAGGAATTTTTGGCAGTCTTCAGCCATTGGAACCGTGAGGTATGCATCCTTCAAGTCGAGCTTGACCATCCAGTCCCCTGTAAGCAGGAGATCTCTGAGAGAGTGTATACCTTCCATCTTGAAGTGGTGGCACGTGACAAACATGTTTAGAGGTCGTAGGTTGCGGCGCGGACGCCTCTGCTTAGGAAACCTGGTGTGAGAGGGTGAATAGTGAAAATTGCACCCTTGGAGGCTAAGGCCTGAACTTCTTGTGATATCAGATATTGATTGTGAGTGGGGAACACCTTGCGGTTGGGGGGCTGTATTTGAACAGGGTATTGTACAAAATCTATAGAATAACCCTGGACAATGTGGAGGACCCAGGCATCTGAAGTGAGCATGCACCATGCATTGACAAAGTGACACAGTCTGCCCCCAACCATTGTTAATGAAGACAGATGAAGTGGCATTGAACTTACCATAAGGTCGTTGGCCAAAGGAAGAACCTCTGGGTCCCCGAGACTGCCATGGTCTACCCCGAACTGGGAAGAACTGTGAGGTAGGTTTGGACTCAGGTGCTGTAAACCTGGACTGTATGGGGCCTCGATAGCCCCGATATCTGCCGGCCCCGCCAAAAACAATGGTGGAACACTAGTTTCATACTGGCTTGAGCATTATCAAGTGCCGTAAAGGTGCCTACATACGTGCCTAGTTCTTTGACAAAGTTATCTCCAAACAGGAGTGCTTTTGCCTGGGGTCCAGGCTCTGAAAAAGCTGGGTTCACTAGCTTAGGTTCTATTTTAATAAGGATTGCCTTGCGCCTTTCAGTGGCCACCGCAGTATTGGCTGGATCGCTGGATCCACCCCTGATGGCTTCCAAATCTACCGGTGTACCACCTGCTAGTGCGATTTCGACCATTTTTGCAATTGGCCCCAGGACATCCAGGACCTTATCCTGGCAATTCCGCTAGGCAAAGTCCAGGACCTTCTAGGCCTTCCAACCAGATTTCCCCAAGAATTGGGCGATCTTTGGGTCTACGTCAGGGGTGGCGCATGCCACATCAGGAATTGTGGGGCGTGGGCATTCTGCCCGGAGTTTGTTTCGCGCCACCTTGTCAAATGGCTTTTTAATGCGAGCAGCGATATATTTCGCTACATGTTCTAGGGGATACCACTCCGAGGATCTTGAGTGTTGTAAGGCGTCGGGATCAAAAAGAGGGTCAATCAGGGTGTAGTCGTCGTCATCAACTCCATCTTTGGGGTCTGCTCCCGCTACTGTCAAGGAGCTGTGCTCCGGAAAATAAATGCTGGAATCATAAGAGTCCTCCTCATCGGACTCGCTCTGTGCCTCCTCTTGCTCCGATTCAGATTCAATCAGGGCTTTTGCCATCTTCCAGTTCCTCACCGATTTTGCCCGGTGGGGGGGCTCTTAGTTGTGGTGCAACCACAGGTTCTGTGACAGGACATACCCTGTCTGTCTGTCTGTAAGATTTTGGAGGCATCCTCATCTAAATGGCCACCGGTTTACACTCCAGGGGTTAGTAGTGAGAGTTGGTGGTAACTGAGTGGACCTCAGTGCATTGGTGATTGAATGGGAGATATTATCTGACATGGCCCCCATAGCAGTACAGATGGCTTGTGTCACAGACTTCGCCATAGCAGCGTCTAGAAGGGAATGCAACTCTTCAGAGTCCATTTGCTCCTGTGATGCTTCATTTAATGTGGGTGGTTTGGACCCTGATGGGGGCGTATTGGTTATGGTGGCACTAGTGGCAGGGCAAGAATTTTCCAACTCTTTACTTGACTGCATGGCTCAGAATTTAATTTGTATAAGTGTGACAGGCATAAAAAAATATTTTAAGGAGGATCAGGCACTACAAGGACTGTAGAGCAAGGATGATTTTATCCTAGTGACAGGATGTGGAACTACAGTGGGAAAGAATTAAGGCTAATAGGCACAATTAATCCGTTAAATACTTAATTCTGCCCCCAAACGAGCAGCAAAAAGCGCGGCAAAACTGCCAACCCCAAGATGGCTGCCGCGATGTGCACTCGCAATGTGCGCATGCGTGAGCGGCACTAGCCGCGTACCGCCTGGATCGTGGGAAGACAGTACCCGGTGCGAGGAGGGAGCCTCAAGGCTGAGGCTGAGGTTCTCAAATAGACAGGAGGCAAACCTGGTTGGAAGATAATCAAACCGACTAGGTGACTGAGGGAAAACAGGGGTGGGGGAGGCAGGGAAAGGGAAGAAACAATAATTCTCCACAGAGGGCAAGTAAAATGTAGAAATAATGCAAAACAAGGGTAAAGGAGGAGGCAGCAGCAAAAGAAAGAGGAGTGGCTTAGGGTCACATGGGACATTATTGTGCTAGGAACACTCTCATTGGTTAATATGTTGTATGTAGTTAACCCTTTAGGGTTAAATGATGTTTGTTATTGAATTTTCGTTGAATATCTACAATATCCTTTCTTTTGCTGCTGAGGAATAAAGAAAGAGATTAAGCATAATAGGAGCCTCCGTGTCCTTTAATAAAATTGATGATCTCAGCCATGGAGGCGGAGCCAGCTGCAGCATGGGGGGTGGGGGAGAGGTGAGTAAAATCACATGTTTACAGAGACTGGAAGAGGGCCAGTCGCATACAGCCACTTGAGGGCTATGGTGTCAGGAATACATGTTTGTATTCCTCAGGGCCGTCTATAATATGATTAGGGCCCTGCTCCTTCCCCCTCCAACCCCCTAATTACACCCAACCCGCAATCACACTGACAGACATACTGACACATACGCACACAGACAGACATATTAAAACATTCTCAGATACATACTGACATACACATATATACTGGCAGACATATTGACACACATTCAGACATACTGACACAGACACATAAACTGACAAATATACTGACACACAGGCCGACATACTGACAAACACACAGACATACTGACACACACACACAGGCAGACATACTGACATATACAGACACACAGACATACTGACACACACAGACACACAGACATACTGACACACACACACAGACTTAGTGACACACAGACACACACACACACACAGACAGACATAGACACACAGAGACATACTGACACTCACAGACATACATACACACAGACATAGACACACACACACACACAGGCATACATTTAGCCACCCTCCAGTTTCTTACCTTTTTCTGGAGGGTGGTTTCCCTGGTCCAGTGGCAGGCTGAGGCAGATAGGAGTTCTCCTCTGTAACTCCCCTCCTCCCTGCCTTTCTCCTCCCGCGCGGTTGTGACCTCCGGTGGGAGGAAGTGACGCGCGGCACTCACTTCCTCCCAGCCAGCTGCCGGACAGGAAGGGGCCCGGTCGCGCTGTTTAAGTGTCACAGCGCCCGACCGGGCCCCTGCTGACACATGCCCACCGGGTGGCCCTTAGTGCATGGGTCACCCGGGGGCCTCCTTAGTGTGCGGCTGGTGTGGCTCTGTGCAGCCGCCCCGCCAGGTCCATGGGAGCTGCTCAAATCGCGGGGCCCACGAGGCAGCTGCTCTGGGCTCCTCAGGAGCAACTGGGCCCGGGGCAGCTGCCCCGTTTGCCCCGCGTTAAAGACGGCCCTGGTATTCCTGACACTACAGTGTTCCTTTAACTTGAATATTGTTTTTATGCACTTGGCACTGGAGCCGCTTCATTGAAATGGTTATAGTGTCTGGAGTCAGAGAAAAGGCAGTGTTTATATTACTGCCTTGGAACACCTCTAGCAACAGTCACTCAGAGAGTTACAAGAGGTGCTTCCTGGGTCAGCACTGATGTTCGGCGTCTCCACAGAGACGCTGAATGTTCCTCATAGACAGGCTTTCCCAAACTCCGGCCCTCCAGATGTTGCTGAACTACAATTCCCATGATTCTCAGCCTATTTCATTCATTAGAATCATGGGAGTTGTAGTTCACCAACATCTAGAGGGCCGGAGTTTGAGGAAGGCTGCTCATAGAGATGCATCGATTCCTTTGGGAAAATATTGGATTGGCTGAGATCACAAAGTTTGCAAAGGGTAATTAAAAGGTACTGACCCACCTTGTCCCCTGTTAAGGTGGTTTAACTCAACTTTTTTCCATTTCTTCAGCTGTCTCCGTCTTCTTGAGATCAGTAATCTTTGTGATCTCAGCCAAGGAGACAGAGCCAGCTGAAGCACTGGAAAAAAGTACAGTAAAACACCTTAACAAGGTGGGCCAGTTACCTAAATGGCATGTTTTGTATTCCAGACACAATAGTGTTCCTTTAAGTTGTAGTAGTTCAGGTGACAATAGTGTCCCTTAAAAAAAAAAAATGAACATGCAAATGTTTTATCTGCTGGCTGATTGCGTTATCTGTTTACATGACTATTATTGTCATTAATTTCTAAAAGGCGCCTTGGATAAGGTTGCCATACAATAAATATTAAATAAATAAAAAAAACAAATAAGTCACATGGGATGCTAAGCCTGTCACATTGAATCCCCATGTGAAGTTGGGATAGTACAGCAACCAAACAAGTTCATTTCACAGGGATCTCAATTACTCTCACCTCCAGATTCCCAGGGACCATTACTCTCAAACAATATCAGATTTGATGATTTTTTTTTTTTTTTGTAGATTTATTTTGAAGTTTCACGTTTTCAATTCCCAATTCTAAAGAGTTCGTTGTGGGAACTAAATGACCTGCTCTTCACTATCAAGCACTTTTTGATTGCTTCAAATAAATGTTATGATAAGATTCTTTCAAACGATACATAACTAGCATATAAATATAACACAGCAACAATTTTTCATTTTTCATTTTCACTTATTCGTTCGTCCTTCATAAAAATATTTAGGAAATTAAAAACTTTAGACAGTATACAGTGTCATTTATCTTGCAATATTTCACACGTGGTCTGAGATGGCAGCAAAATGCAATGTTTCTGGAATTCAGTAGGTGTGACAAAATAGCTAAATAAAAAATAGTCAACATTTGGGAGACCAACTCCAAAACAGCTATATGTGTCACAATGCAGGAACAGTCATACAAAACGATGTTCCGGTGGTATACCACCCCAGTCCAACTATACCATATGAAAAAGACACCTACCGACCTCTGCTGGCGAAACTGTGGAGAGAAAGGGACGCACATTCACATGTGGTGGCACTGCCCCAAAGTAAAACTCTTCTGGACGGAAATTCTCCTTGCTAAAACCAATGACAACGAACAGCTGCAAAACAAATGTACACCGAATAGACTGTGTTATGAGCCTCTGTTTTTTCTGATTACGAAGCCAATATATGGATTTGAACCACAAATGGGTTTTTGCATAAGCCACACTGTACAAAATGTATACCCTTTTGTCATCGCAAAAATAAAGAATCATAAAAAAAAAAAAACCTTCACCCCCTGCACATTGTCACTCCCCTCCACACACTCTCAATCCCCCCTTCCACGCACTGTAACCCTTAATATAAAAAGAGGTACATTATGGTAGAACATATAGCACAAATCCCAGGTTTTGTTTTGGTCAGAACTTGGTAAATGGTTTCTTATCAGGCTAAGGCTTTGATTGCTGGAGTTTAAAGGATCACTATGGGGTCAGGAACATAAACATGTATTCCTAACCCTACTGTGAAAACCCACCATGTAGGTGGCTTGCCCCCCCCCCCCCATAGCCCCTCAGAATGGGTTAACACCCCCATATTTTCAGCTCTCCACAGGTCTGCCGGCGCTGGCCCTGCTCCCTTGGTGACATCAAAATTGCCAATTTATAGCCAATCCAATGCTTATTGGCTAAAATTGGCAAGGGGGCAGTGCCAACCGCCATTTTGGCCAATCAGCACCTCCTCATAGAGACACATTGAATCAGTGCATCTCTATGAGGAAAATTCAGCGTCTCCAGGCCGAGCATGGGGACACTCAACGGCAGGGCTTCTTGCTGTGCAGCCCTGAGCTAGGGAGCCCCTCCAGTGGCCATCTAAGGAGTGGCCACTTGGAGGTGTGCCTAAGGGCAACGTAAACACTGCTTTTTCTATGAAAAGGCAGAGTTTAAATGAAAATGCCTGAAGGGAGCCAATATACTGACCACAACAACTACATTAAGCTGCAGTTGTTCTGGTTACTATAGTGTCCCTTTAAAGGCTTATTTGCAAAGTACTCAGCTTCCTATATCTTTTGTAGGCAGGGATAGATTTTCCATTAGGCACAGTAAACACCAGTCCTGTATGGGGTGCCAGTTAATATCCCCCGTCTGTACATCCTGCTAGATGCAGGACTTATGTATTCGGTCCGAATAGCCCCCTCAGAATGGACACAGCTACCTCTGCATGGCTCTGCCCCTTCAGAATGAACACCGCTATCTGTGCATGGCTCCGCGCACTAAGAATGAACACAGTAATTGGTGCATGGCCCCACTCACTCAGAACGGCCACCTACCTGTGCATGGCTCCGCGCATTCAGAATGGCCAATTACCTGTGCATGGCCCAACCCATTCAGAATGGCCAGCTACCTGTGCATGGCCCCACCCATTCAGAATGAACAGCGCTATCTGTGCATAACCCCGCCCCTCAGAATGAACAGCGCTATCTGTGCATAACCCCGCCCCTCAGAATGAACAGCGCTATATGTACATGGCCCCACCCCTTCAGAATAAACACCATCTGTGCCTGGCTCCGCTCCACCCACTCAGACAGAACACATCTTTAAGAGAAAGAGGGGAGAGGAGTAGAACCCAAATCAAAGGTATACAAAAAATTTTTTAACAAAAAGGTAGATGAGGAAGGTAATGGGATCACCACTTTGATAATATACTGCTATTACTTGGTGGACTGTTTAGTCTTGTACTGATATAGTTAAACAGTGTATAATGACAAGAATATGAAAGAGGAAAAAGAAAAAAAAAAAGAAAAAACACGCAACCTTTAGTTGGATTGTTCCCTAGGGCAGTCAATCTATTTCAGTAAATTTAAAGATTTGTCATAATAAATAGACTACACAATCAATATGAATAGGGCTATATTGTCTAGTAGTGATCCCATAGCCGTCTTGTTTAATTTTGACTGATTATTAATAGTGTAGGCCAGGGGTAGGCAACCTAGTGCCGAAGGTTTCCCTTATTATGCTAAAGTTGTTTTGGGGACTATAGTGTCCCTTTATTGTGCTTGTGGGGCATGTTGAGCACTGGTGAGATGATGATGATACGGATAATACTACTCCTAAACACTTATAAAAACAGTATTAGCCACAAACCCATATGGCTACACAAACATACACACACTATGTGAATATATACACACGTTTTATATTTAAAAGTCCAAGAACTTTTTTTTTTTTTTTAAACTAGTTGTTGTAAAGTGCTCTTGATGTAAATCCATGCCAGATTGAGGATATTAGTGCTGCAGGAGTGGTTACATCACCTGCTCCCCATGCAATGTATTTACCATGTGAAAAATAGTTTTTTTAGCACTGCTATTAAGGCTGACTGGAGTAGAGAGAGGAGAGTGGCCAGTGCTCCTTGTATTTCTATCTCCACCATCCTATTTAAGCGCAAAAGGGCACATTAAAAGCTGCTTAAAACAGGCAACCCTTAGTGGTCAGACGCCTGCTCTGCCTAATGGGGAATCCAGCCCTGTACTGTTTGAAAGCAGGTTGTGTGCTGACATTTTTAGCTACATTCATTATAAATCAGAAACTAGGGTCTTCTGGCAGATACATTTGTTACGATTACCAACCTGTAGCAAACAGTATGAATGAGGCATTATGAACAAGATTTTATGCTACCAAAAAAAAAAAAAAATAACTATTCTGTAGTGAAAGGGTCCTGTGGTGCAGTTGCAAACCTGAGAGTACCTGGGTTTGAGTCCCAAGTAGAAAATTTACAACACAACACACATACTAAGCACCACACCCACTACAGTTTAATGTATACCCCACCCCAACTGCTACACAGTGAAGTCTGCTTTGGAAAGCAAATGCTATATTGGGCTGGGGTGTCTAATGCCACTGCTTCCACCTCTCCATTCAGCTATTATATTATTATGTAACAGAATGATAAGATTTCCCTGGGATACCATCCTTATAGTCCCACAATGAAGGTTTTTATAGACCATTCAAAAATACACTTGTTTTGTTGGATACTGTCTTAAACTACAACTAGATTGTTGTTAGGAGTACATTATTATTATAATTTGTATTTTTGGCATTACATATTTGATGTTCATTATGCATATATGTAATGTACTTATTCTTTTATTAAAAAAGAAATCAAGGGGGGGGGGGGGCGCTAACTGTCATGGAGGACAGACGTGTTTCATAGGAGCTCCTCCACAATCCTGTCATGGAAGACAAAACACGGCCTCATTCAGCCTGATTCAGGGACCACCTTGAGCCCACACCGAAGCCCGACAATGTTGGGCCTGGTAGTAGGGGTCGGTGACCTGGTAGAAGCCGAGAAGCCACACCTGCGACAACATGCGGCCTTGTGTGCACCGGGCAGGGGATGCGGCCGCTCTCCCGCTCCGGGGCTACCCAGCGACTGCAATGGTGGGACGGGCAACCAGTTACCCCCCCCCCGGGACCGTTGGGGGGTGAACACGGTCCAACCCAAGAGAGCTATACCCAGCAGGGGAAAGGGAGAGGTGAAGGCCGGCAGACAAGCGACTAACTTTACTACTGAATCACTCCTAATGGCGGACACCTCTTACCTCCCTCGCAATCAAGCTCACAACACGGAGACCACGCTCCAGACGAAGCTGGAGGTTATCCTGGCGGCATTCTGGCATAAGCTGGAGAGTCGGGCACTGCAAAAAGCTCCACCACAAGCAAGCGTCCCCTTGCCTAAACGGCACATGTCACACACAAGGAAAACACTTGTGGCCCTTACAGGCAAGAGGAACCCACGGAGAAGGCGCACCAGGCCCACAATCACCCCGGCATAAACAGCAGCACAATCTGGTGTTCAGCATCCGAGACGGGACCGGAGCCTGGAGGCTTGAAGCACCTCAATAAGTTGCCCAACAGCGGGATACCAGTGACGGGAGTCAGCTGATAATAGACCAAGAGCCGGGCGCAGGGACTTCCTCTTAAATGTGCCCCTTTCAAACATATAGCACAGAAGGATGACCCAAATTCTAATTCTGCTTTACAACTGTGTCATGATCTAAGAGGGAACCTCATGGGACATTTAAATCATCAGCAAGCCTACTTTGAACTCAATCTTTAAGTATATGACTGCATTACACTTGTTAGCTAATGTAATTCATTGAAGTTTATACTGCATGATGTTCAACCTCTAATAACTCAGCCTGATTACAATGCCTACACAAATTATACAATAGCTTAGCTGTTTCAGCATCATAATTGATGAATATCTCACCTACCCTGATGACAAAACTACATAGACACGCCTGGCATATGTAACAATTGACTCTCCTCCTGCTGATACCTGATCAAATATGGACATCAAACCTGATCGGCTCAACGCTCTGCTGCCCCGTGGTGGTTGAATCGTATTCAGCATTGTTGAACCTAACTGGGCATAGTTGACCCTTCCTAGGCGTGGTTAAACCTTACTGAGCGTGGTTAAGCCTGACTAGACTTGACTCTAAGCATGGTTAACTCTTACTAAGCAGGGTTGAATCTTACTAAGCATGGCTAAATCCCATTAAGCACGGCAAACTCTTATTAAGCATTACTTTGTTTATATAAAAAAAAATGTGCAATGTTTCTTATGCCACATTACTGTTACCGCATGTTTCTTTTATGTTTGCACCAGCTGTCGTGGCAGTGCAAAACTGCTTGTTAAATCTATGCACGAATAAAATAAAGAATTATAAAAAAAGAAAAAGAAATCAAGAATTTCCCCCAAAAAGTCTTCATTGCTGGCTACTAGTATGAGTTGTATGGATGAAAAACATTTATGCAGAATATTTGGAGAAGTATAAAAAAAAAAAAAAAACTCCTTATCTTCCCACCCACCCCCACCACCCTCACCAGTGGTTTGGAAGGAGAAGGCAAAAAATAAAAAAAAATTATTGATGCATGTCTGCCTCCAGGAAGCACGATCACCAAGTTCCAGCTATACATATTTGATGGTCTTTTCACATACCATTCACGGTGGTGAAAAAAAGCTATTGCATAAAAGGAAACTAACAATTAAAGGCTTTTAGTTTCACATTATAAATTGCGTGTGACTTGTTAAGTGTACATACATTTTTCTCTGTCGTACTAAAGTGACAAACCAATTCTAGATACTTCCAACCTTTGTCATTCTTAAGAGAACCAATTTTAAATCCTAAAACACATGTTCAGCAAAAGCAGGATGAGGGACAGATAAAATTGTGTGTACACACCTGTATATTGTATACTGGCGTGTGTTTGTATGTGAGAGAGAATGCAGGTGTGCTGTTGTGTTCATTAGGCTGGTGCTTGTGACTAGCTATATTGGTGTGTGGCTAATTAAGGTTTGTATGTGTAGTTAATCATAAAGGTTTGTGTGTATGGAGGGGTGGCATGTAAAATTCTTTACTAAGGCCGGTCACTATGAATACCCAATAAACCTACATGCCACCCCATCCTGAATTGCACAGTATTGGCCAGAGTTTGCCCAGATGATCCTTGTGAAGCCAGGTTATTCTCTTTTTTCTAAGTCAGGGTTCTCCAACCCCCATGATTCTTTGAATAAAATGGATACGCAGAGAATTATGGGAGTTGTAACATGTGGTGGAACAGAGTTTGGACAGCCATGTTTCTCAGTCATTAACAGTTGTCAGTTGTATGGCTAGGCCTACCAGCAGGATCAGGAAAGCACCCAAATGACCAAATAGAAAAAAAAAAAATACAAAAAAAAAAAAATACAAAAAACCCCCCAAAACTGGAGCTTAAAACACACATTTCTATAACCAGGCAATGCCCGAATCAAGACAGACCCATTTCTCTCCTCTCTTTACTAAAAAAAGAACATCTTAAAATTTTATTGATTTTTTTTTTTATCTCCCAAAAACATAAAAAATTAAATGCATTTAAAAAGATACAAGTCAGAGCAGGCGAGGTATCCCATCTTGTTTTAATTTATAACTGTTTGAAATCCAGTGACACTGACACACATACATACAGCTACCACTGCCAGCCCCCCTCCCTGTGCAGCGTGAGAGAGGGGACCCTGGACTTTGTTTTGACCTGTTTTTGTAAAATACAGTACTAATGAGTGGACTGCTAATTGCATGCATCCACGGCCGATACTACAGTGATTCCATACTGTAACTCAAACAGTACTGCCATTAAAAAAAAAAAGAAAAAGAAAAAAAGAAATATATAATCAAAATTCATTCTCCTTTTAACCTATCCTGAGAGGCCTAGTGGCCTGGCCAGATAGTTAATGCTCTTAGAAGATGCTACAAGCAGAACTTCCCTAGAACTCCTCATTTATATAAATATGGAAGAAATTTATTTTTTACAATTCACTACATTTCTGGCTACCCGTTAGCGACCTACGGAATTAGGGAATAAGAGGGCACGTGGTTTGGGGGATGGAATAGGCCTTTTCGTGGTAGGCCATGGAATGAGACCTAGTGGTGGAAGAGGGGGGTGGGCTTTAAAAGGAATGGTTTGAGGGACTTAGTCTTCTTCGCTTCCAGTTGCCGAACGATCCTGGAAAAAAAAAAAAAAAAGGAAAAAAAAAAAAAAATCAATTAAAATTTAAAAAAGCACAACGTTACAAGCTGAAGCAATGAATGATGTGTGTAATAATTCTGAAATGTTTAAAGATCAAATGTCACAGTTATGATATTTTACAGAATAGAAGATCCAGAATGCTCTGACTCATATTGCATGGTGTGGGAAAGCTTTAGAAGGCTCAGTCTGCCCCCATTATAATAACTATTTATTCAATAGCCCCTACACTAGGACCATCTGCTTCTATTTTGAAATATTACATGGAGGGAGTTGCAAGCCGGTAACTCCCTCCTTGTAACTAAAACAAATCAGCACGGACAAAATTTAGTCCAACCAGTGATTCACTTTTCCTTTCATTTGCTGTAATTTCTATTCATTCTTCTTTCAAACAAATGGACTAATAGCACAAGTCTACCATCAGTAGAAATGACACACGAAAATCTCGTATGGCATCGGAGGAAGGACAGGCAGGAAGGTGAGCATGGTGGGAGAATTTTCTGTGACAAAGGAAGTGGAGCTTGGTTAAGCTCCACCTTTTTGTCACATTTGTCAAGTGAAAGAAAAATACATCCGGCAAAGTAGTCCCTACTTTGTATTCAGTTTTAAAGAGAAACAGATTGTAAATTATCAACCGATTCTGAGAGAGGAAGAGAAGAGGAAACCATATAAGAAAGGTATTTTTTAGGTGACAGACAGTTTAAATAGGTTTTAGTTTACCAGTCTTTGACATGGCAATTCACTTCTTTAGGAATTCACCTTGCGGCTACTAATAATATGGCTAATGGGTCAATACTGAAAGCAAAAGGAGACTTAAAAGAGTTACCTGACAAATGAAGCCACTACAGATTTCCAGGTGAATGTGAGAAATGTAACCTACTTAAGTGCCATTGGCAAAGAGCTGCTATTACAAGCACTTTGTGAAAAAAACTATGGGAATTAAACCAGAGTAATCACACATTCTAGGCAGTCTGAATATTGATACTAATTACATTAGACCACACGTGTTTATTAGAGCAGAGACAGGATTGGGGACTTTGCTACAAATTGATAACCTAACAATGTGGGGCAATCGTAAACAGACGTACACCTCTACATCTTCATTTAGCAATCAGAATAATAAACTGGCAGCGTGATCATAGAGGGATTGGAGGGGGAAGACAGAAGGCAGCATGCACTCACCTCCTCCTGGTCCTCTTCACTGTCATCATCACTAATAACAGGTTTGGCTCGGCACCCTCGGCTGGTCCTTCTACGGCCCTTCATGCGTTCCTGTATTTTTTCTTTTCTTCCAAGTTTTATCTTCACCTTCACCGAGCGAGCTGTTAACAGAGGAGAATTGTATATAAATTAAAGATAAACTTTTTTTAGGTTTTGCATTGCTTCAAAGAGTACATATATGTTAATCTGTAGGACATGGTCATCTTTGATTAGGTGTCTAATCACTAGGTTGTACTGGTAAAATCATCAACAAATGTAAAGAATAAAAAGCAAGTTTAGGTGGGCAGGACTTGGCAGCCATGCTGACCAGACGTGCTCTGTGAAAGCTCTGCGTAAACTTTCTACTTTCAGAGGCTACAACATATTTATGCTAGCCTGCAGTCTCATTGCATACTTACCCGTTTCTGCATTACCAGGTGCTCTTCCTGCATTTTTGTGGAAAGCGTGCGTCTTCTGCACAGAACACTAGAACTTGGAGTATAGGAAAGACGGCAGACCTCCCTGCCTGAAGTGGCATGTTAATCAATGGCGGATGCTCCGTACCACCATTTGTTTGGATGGGCGGATGTTATCCCGATCCTCACCAGAGATGATCCCCTTTAGTGGATCTGATTTACAATGACTCCTACTACCAGTTGTCACCTAAGAGGACTTTTTTTTTCTTGGAGTCCTCAAAACCCTTAGTAAAGCAGTTGCAGGGTCAGCGGAGAGTAGCCATCATGGAGTCATTTGATACACTGTGCTTGAAATTTTGACAACATCTCAACCAGTGGCAACGTGGCCTTAATTGGATTACAGCAGAAGGGAATAACTCATGGGGAATCACTGTGTATAGGGTCCTACCTGGGCCTAAAGCCACGGGAGGTACTCACTCTGCCCACAATCGCAGGAGACGCTTGATGCACAGAATGGAGTGGAGCAGGACGAATCTGCCTGGGGACATCGACAGACGACGCGGAGAGGGCAGAGTCCACGGACAATGGGTTTATAATCAGCTTGGGGGATGCACTGGTACTCTCGGGATGAATCCCCACCAGTGTTTAAGCCGAGGAAGGCTCTCTCCAAGATCGTGAATAGGCTAAACAGAATTTCATTATTTGGGGGCTCAGAATCTCCAAATGTGGGACTCAGTCTATTGGCATTATATGGATGATTTTATAGAGGTTTTATCTATTTGTTCCAATAGTGGCTATCTAGCCCGTATAACTCTCATGCCTTTCTGGTGACGATTACTCGCTTTGTGTAACATGGCTTATTCAATGCCCCAGTAATCTGCTAGTGTAGCCCTGTTACTGGTTAATGGATTATCCTCACAATATCTATACCCGAGTAATACAGTATATAGTGACACTCTAGAAATTCCTGACTGAGCTATTCGCTATGTATATCTTTGTGCTGATTTTTAACTAGTGAGAATATCCATGTTCACATTCTCTCTATTACTTCCTAAACATTTCTATAATCAAACAAAAAAGAAGGTGCCTTACTCTTGCATATACATTTGTAATGTGTTTTGCTGTAATCTGCGGTCATTGCCAATATTCTTTTATCTATCCTGATAAACACCTCAAGAAAGCATTGACAAAAAAAAAAAAAAAAAAATCTATTGAAGTTTATGTGAAGGTGGATTCTGCCTCCTTTGGGAGGCGACAGCAAACAGAGGGGATTGTGTATTGTCCAACCACCATATGGTATCTATCTTATGGAGACACTCAGAGGATTGTGGGACTTTAGCAGCTTTTGAAAACCTTAAGGATACGTGCATAATAGTTATCAGCCTAATTGGTCATTTCTACCTATGACCACAGCACTGCCATAAGAGTATGGCATTTAATTCATTTAAATAAAGTGTAAGCTATAAATCTGGAAGTAAAAACAGAATATAGGTCGTGACCTATATTCTGTTTTTACATTTGTACTTTTTGTTGATGCTTTGAGGGAATAGCATGCCTTTAGGTTGCGGCCTATTTTTTCCATTTATTTTAGCTGTGTATTGGTTACTTAGCGCTGATCCTATTACCATTTACCATATACATCTGGAAGACATGACCAATTTATGAACAGATTCCCTGGGAATAAACCATATTCTAGCTTGACTCACACTCAGACTCTGAGCCTTCCTCCTCCACTTCTTCCTCTTCTTCACTCTCCTCTCCTTCACTTTCCTCCTCCTTCTCAATCTTCTGCCGTACACTGGTGAAGACTGACTGTAATACGATGGAATCTTCGTAGATCTGAAAGGAGTCAAAGAATAAGTCTACATGTGATGAAATAAATAAATAAATAAATAGGTGGACACCTGGCTTCCTTTCTGGACCATCTAAAACAATGGTTATTAAAGGGGTACTCAAATTAATAACAGTGTTTTAAAAACAAAACATTTTTTTGAACGGAGTAACCATTGCAGGCACAGTACCTGCCCCCTCTTAAATAATCAAAACTTGCCTGCGATCCCAAACGGAGGACACGTTCTCTCGTCCCCAATATCACTGCCTTCAACTGCAATAGAAGGGAAGACATCCCACAATGGGCGTCCATCACTCTGTGCATGCGGACACTGGATGCTTTTTATACACCAAACTAACATTAGTAGCCTGGAATTAGAGTATTACTGCCGGAGGTGGACTTTGCATATATGCAGTGTTTCTTACGGAAATGCTGCACAGACTCCAAAGCAGTGAAGTGGTTATGGCTCTTGCAGTAATCCTTTAAACCCAGGGTCACTGCATTAAGTGCTCAACTATTGAGTATTAGTCAGTTATTTCACTAATAACAGATCCCAATGGACACGTGCCTACACCAGCACAGCTCTCTATAGAGTATTATTGTGGGGATTTAATTCAATCCTTAACAATGGTGTGATGGTAACGGAGATACATTTTCATAGCTTTAAGTGAGTTGTCACCTTTAATACAAGCATCGGTTCAATTTACTAAAACTATGACTGTATTGTCACCAAAAAACAAAAAAAAGTTAGTTTTACCATTGTGGAGGTCACTTCTTGAAAATGCATCTACTATAATGTGATGACTCTACAGTTACTGATGAAATTACTTTTTTTTTGTAAAAATTTATTTTTTACACATCAATTGCCTCAAACACCTAGTCAGAAATATAAACTATATGTTACTTTATGTCACTTTATAGGTTTTAATTTTACAAACATTTAAAATTGACAAATTATTGCAATTCCACCCAAGGGAACCAGCATAAGACAGTTTCACAATTCAGCCTCAATAACAAACTGTAATTTATAGCCACACAGTGGTAATGGAAGGACTCGATAGTACGTACTAGAGAACCTTCAAGGTTAAAGGTCTGGGCGTTCTGACACAGCAACATGACATCTTTTTCCAAGTCATTCAGACTGCGGTACTTGTGATTTCTGATCCGCTCCTGCAAAGACAGAAGGATTTAAATCAGTTGTATGTAACCGTTTAGAAGGTACAACTCATGTACAAGAGTGCTCTTTCTACCCACCTTTATTTTTCGGAAGTCTACTGGCTTTCGGATCAGTTCATAGTATTCTGGAAGTTCCTTACGAGATGGCAGCTGGATGAAAACTTCACTAAGCTGGCGGCCGGAACCACTTTTTAGGGGGGTGAGAGGAAAACAGAATAAATCATTAAATTTTTATTTTTTTTAAAGAAATTGAATTTACCTTTTAGTAATTCATGGTACAATTGTAAAGAAGTTTTTTTAGGAAAATCTCTTTAAAAAATAGTCGTACTTGTCTTTGTATTTTATGACTGCATCCACAATCTTCTTCATCTTCTTGGTTAGATTTGGAGGATTAGGTGAGAGCTTCTCAGCTGGAGGACGTCCCCTCTTCTTCTGTTTCTTGCCTTCGTCATCCCGTTCCCTGCTTCGTGTACTCGTGGTCGGAGTTCCCAGCCCTGGGTCCACATCTCGTTTCCTTTTTCGAGTGGTCTTTTTCTGACGCACCTCCTCCTCAATTTCTTCTAACGTGCCTTCTTCTATAGCCTGATGACAAATTATATTGGTCACAATGTTACATACTACTCTACTAAAACACAATGGCAAAGCAATTTGGGCAAGACAAACCATCCTCCAATAAGCACAAGATATTTTGTGTGGCATTTTGACACAAATTCCCTCAAACAAAAAAGTTGAATAGCTTGAGTACTAGAGTATAAGTGCTTTCTTCTGATGACATCTCTATCTAAAAACGTTATGCTTTGCATAGCAAGATTCCCGCTGGTTCAAGTTTAGGGTAAATTAAACATTCTATAGATCAGTGATAAGCAACATGTTTAGCTACAGCTCATTGACATTCAGCTACAGACAGAATTTCTCTGGGAAAATTGCTGAATATTATGGGAATGGTTTTCCACTAGCTGCCTGTGGATGGAATATTTTGATTTCTAACTAGTAAACAGGAGTCCATCACTTGTTTACACTCTATGCCTCATCTCCTAACCATTCATCATGCCTTTATATATGGAGCTTAAGGCAAACTTACCTTCAGCCACTGTTTCTCCGTGAGGGAGTCACTGTAATCCACTTCTTTGCGACTTCGAGAGCCACGGCCAAACATTTTTTCTTCCTCCTCTTCACAAGTGAGACGCTCAACTTCAGCATCATCTTTAATGATCCAGGAAGGCAACTCATCCTCTTCCATTAGACGAGGTTTACGTTTTGGATTCCGAGCTTCCTCTCTCCGTCTGTCTAAGTCCATACGCTGTAAGGAAAATAAATGATAAGTATCCAGAGTTAATAAAACACAATCGTATCCCTTTAATAATCTAAAAATCAAATGTCACGGAGACCATGTTTGAAGAACCTGCCAGAAACAATCCTTTATCTTGTAGAAAACCAGAGCAGGGTTTCCACCATTCCCCTTCTACAAACATCCAAAGAATATGCTGGTGGTATAAGTAATGCAAATTTGTTGATTGATCAAAAGTGATTGATAGAAAAAATTTTTTTTAAAAAATACATTTTTCAATAGTTTCTTTCCAAGCTTTGCAGGTAGATTTCACAATTACATATTTTTGTTCTGTTTGCCTCCATTGACCCAAAGTTTTATTCCTTATTCAGTTCCACCATGTAATTTTATTATGACCTATGGAAGAACTCTTCAATAAATCCTACAATCCTACCATGTCGGTCTCCGTCAATGACCATGTTTGACAGTGCAGAACTGAGATTTTACAGCTCAATGCAGTAACGTGTTAAGAAGCCTAGAACAGAGTTACACCTTCACTTATCCCATGATTGCTACAAAGCTATGAAATAAACTAATCCATATAAATACTGAATATGACATTTATTTACGAATAACTGGAGGTCAAGACTCACCATAAATAGTTCAAACTCCTCTTCATGTCGGGCTATCATTTGATTCACCGTTTCATCATCTGGCACCTCGTCTTCCTCCTTCAGAAAGAAAGAAAACCGCATTAAACCTAAAATGGTTTTACTTTTTTAATATAACAAAAAGGGCATAACATCCTTCCTTATGGAATAATGTCCACAGGTCTAAAGTGGTACCAATCGACACCCATTCTAGTCTGTTTCAGTTTGGTGCTCACAAACTGGATTGTGGTCTTTGACAAAAATGGAATTGCAATGACTCCAACCCACCTGACAGCCTAGTTACCCGAGCAATGGTTACCCAGCACGGATTTGCTCACCATTTGGAGACCTATATTATGGGCAGGTCTTACTACTATTATCCCTCATTTCCACACACTGGGAAGGATTAAAATCAGAAAACTGCCAGGTGAATCGAGCTACTCACCTCGTCCTGCTCCTCATGTTCTAGAATGGCTTGCAGGAAGGCTTTCCTCTCGTGGCTGGAGGACTTCTGGTCAAACATGCCTGCCTGAATAACCTTCTGGTCCACATTCAGTTTGTACTTGGCGGCAGCCAGGATCTTTTCCTCCACGCTGTTCACCGTGCACAGACGCAACACACGGACCTCATTCGTCTGGCCAATGCGATGAGCGCGATCCTGAGCCTGGAGATCCTGCACAAGAAGAAACAAATTGTATATCACAGCATGAACGCAACATACAGTTTCAGTGAGTGTCTCCAACATACAGTTTCAGTGAGTGTCCCCCATGAAATAGAAATATATAAATAGTCCTGCATGTACACAGCAACACGCATACATTACAACGTGGGTTTCCTCAGCACCTATTCTCGAGCCAATCATCTATTACATATCACACAAAGAATCAGGGCATCACTTTCAGTCATACAAGGATTCCATATTGATGCGCATGTACAATAATTCACACCCACCCGTGCTTTATACCGCAGCCCACACTGTGCACGAAGGAGCCATTTAAAATGGTTAGGCTGCATCACACCTGGAACTTATGAGGAAACTACAATAAAGGTGGTACATGGTGCCGGCTAGACTGGCAAACATATATCCACAAACGACACACACACACACACACAAGCATAGAGAGAGAAGAATGAAAGAAAGGAACCAACTATGTAAATAGTTACGGCAGGGCGAGCAAATGAAGTGGAAAGCTCAGACCACAGAGTGGCCCAAGATGGCATTACACTGCCGGGCAAAGATGATGTTCTAACGGTACAAAGAAAAAATTGCTTCCATACATGTTACTGCTACAACCCTGTTATGTTGTAACCCCCTCACTTTTGGGAACTTTGATATAAAACGAATGAATATCATTGCTTGTAAAACGATTCCCCCCCCCCTTTTCTATTCTGTACCCCAAAGTACGAAAATGTTTAATTAAAAAAAAAAAATGTTTAGGCTGAAATGCATTCAGCTTCCTTAGGACACATCTATCACTTCGCAGTCATCAGAATCTGCTCCCTAAAGACGTTATATGCCAGCATGGAAAGTCTTGTTCATTAAGATTTGTAATCTCCATGTTATTCAGTGGTACAAGCCTGTTACATGCCTTTTTCTGTACCTTGTCTCCCACCCTGCAAAACTGGTTAGCACTATATAAATAACTTTGCACTGCTTTGTACCTGATGTGGGTTCCAGTCACTATCAAATATAATGACTGTATCTGCAGACTGCAAGTTAAGGCCCAAACCCCCAGCACGGGTGCTGAGTAGGAAGATAAAGTATTCAGATGCAGGTTCATTGAATGTCTTTAGCAGCATACCACGGTCCTCTGCTTTTGTGGTCCCTGTAGCGAAAAAAACAAAAATAAATTCAGAAAATAAATAAAATGCATCTGAAATCATTTAAGCACCAAAATGGAATATAGAACTTTTATAAACCTGACTATCTATTCATTGTGACTTTTTTTTTATTTTTTAAAACAATCTTTACTGAAACTGATTGAAGAGGCTTTAGGCTCAATTTACCAACTAGAACACAGTGACACGTAGGCGATCTAGAGCTCTGTGGGCTTTGTCTTTGTAACCAATACATGGTATATATATATATATTTTTTTTAATAAACCAAATGTGGAAACTTGACTAAGACAGCTTTAATGCTGACAAACATATGCCAGACACTCAATTTGGAATGGAAAAAAAAAATGCAGAAAAAGGACAAAAAGCAGACTTTGGAAAATGGCAAAATCTGGAGACATCACAGGAGTGAGCTCAACCTAAAAGACCACTTGTAATATCCTAAGGAGGCACTGCATAATCAGATTTGTGTGAAAATAAATGAGAACACTGGTGTAAAACCATGTCTAGATCACATCTCTATGCAGCTTGAAATGATAAATCCAACATTAGGATTAAAGGCCACGGACTTCAGGAGAAATATGGGGTCAAGGGTACAATGCGGACACTTCCTTTAACCCCTTAAATCCGGAGAGCGTACTATTATGCCCTGCAGGAGCTGGCTCTAAACGCCGGGGGCGTAATAGTACGCCCTCGCTATAATGGCCGCCCACGTGTCCGGCGCTAATCGTCAGCTGCAGAGGGCGGTTGGGGGTATGCCTGGCCCCCCAGGCAACCTCCCCTGTGGCCGGTGACCGCGACCTGCAGTCTCTGATCGCAGTGTCACTGCGATCAGTATTTACTGTGGCTGATACACGTGGCTGGCGGCTTTCCCCTGTGCAGATCACGGTCGGGGGACATACCTGACCCCCCAGGCAACCCCCCTGTGGCCGCGATCTGCACATGTCTGAGATCACAGTGACATCAGTGTTACATGTGTCAGCCTAATGGCTGATACATGTAACAGGCGCAATGATCCCCCTGCAGATTGGTAGGGGGAGTGCTTGTACCACCCAGGCACTCCCCCTGTGGTCAATTACCCAATCTGCAGGAGGTGATCACAGTGACAGGCAGTCACTATGATCACTGATCCTGTGTGTCAGCCACTGATTAGTTAAAAAAATAAATTACAGTTACAAATAAAATATACTTAGAGATAGATTATTTATATATATATATATATATAATCTAAGTATAATTTGTGTGTATATATATATATATATATATATATATATATATATATATATATATATATACACACACACACATACACTAAGTGTATTTGAATATTAATATCAAAATACACGTAGAAGGATATTGAATATATATAATTATATATATTTATATAATAAAAATATGTAAATACGTTAAAAAATTAAAAAATAAAAATTAAAATGTGTAATTTCGTTCTAACTGTATTTTGATAATATATATTGCTATCAAAATACACATAGAACAATATATATATATATATATATATATATATATATATATATATATATAAAAAAATTAAAAAATTTACACACATAAAATAATTTGATATATATTTATATAATAATATAAGGACATAATTATGACAATTTGCGGGACCTGCCTGACAACCCAGGCCGAAAGTGGGGCGGAGGGGGAACGATTTTATTCGGGAGACATCACTGAACACAAAATATTTGTGTTTCAAAACCGTAAAATGTATTACAGTGATGATATTGTCAGTAAAAGTTAAGTTTTTTGCATTTTTCACACATAAACGGCAATTACATGGACGATATGATTGTTGTAATACTTTTTACTGTTTTGAAACACAAATATTTGTGTTCAGCAAAGTCTCCTGAGTATAACAGTACCCCTCATGTACAGGTTTTATGGAGTTTTCAAAAGTTACAGAATAAAATATAAGGCTTGCGTTTCAGTTTTTTCACATTGACATTCGCCAGCTTGGTTATGTTGCCTTTGAGACCGTATGGTAGCCCAGAAATAAGAATTAGCCCCCATGATGGCATACCATTAGCAAAAGTAGTAGGTATTGCAAATGGAGTATGTCCAGTCTTTTTTAGTAGGCACTTAGTCACAAACACTGGCCAGAATTGGCATTCAAATTCGTTTTTTGCATTTTTCACACACAAACAAATTAACGTTAACTTATTTTATTGCAGTATAAGCAAACAGTATTATGACAGTCACAGTTAGAATGTCACGTAGAACTAAACATTTTTTTAAAATTCTTATTTTCTCCCATTTTTCGATATTTTATTCATATTAAAATTATGTTTTATACCTAAATATATGATGTTAAATGAAAGCCCTGTTTCTCCTGAATAAAATGATATATAATAAGTGTGGGAGCACATAATATGAAAGAGGCGAATTACGCCTGAACAGACATATGGCGCAAATTAAAGTTTTTGTTTACGTTTTGTTTTGATCACAACGTGTACATTTGGCTCAGTCCTTAATGGGTTAATGCAAGCGTTTATAGAAGATGGTACCTACCAAAGAAGTAAACATAAGCATCACTGTTAATATAAGTGAAACGAACAAAATAGATTAATAGGAAAACTGATAAGAATGGCCTTCAATTGGAGATATGAAGGTAGACGACTGAAAGAGCACTAAATGAAACAGGAAATTGGTTCGACAGATTATTAGGAGTCTGCTCAGCAGGTCATCATTTTCTATGACTTAAAAAGCTATCATGAGTTTAGACTCTCCACGGCATGGCTAGTGCAGTGATACATGTATGAAAAAAGAAAGGCAGAGAAAAAAAAAAACAAAAAAAAAAAACAGAAGAAAACAAAAACACAGGCATGGCAAATTACATTCTATTGATCCACTTACCATCCAACCTGAGGTATTTAAATCCACGATAAGCAAAATAATCTTCCATTATGGTCATAAGAGTGGTCATCTGGCAGAAGAGAAGAACCTTGTGGTTGGTGTTGCGTAACTTTGGGAGGATGCGGTCTAGAAGCTCAAACTTCCCAGACGCACGGTATAGGTCCTGCCTGTGTGGAGAAAGGAAAAGACCTGTCACAATAACGAATGGACGTCAAGCATACAATACTTTAACTCTTGTATTTAATTGTCAATGTCTATCAACCAAAAATCTGTAAGACTAGTCAGCTATGCTGTCACTTTCTGCCAACTGCATTACTTCAGCAACACTATTAGAACTTCACCATTTCTAAAATATTCTATACTGTGGGGAAAAAGAACAGAAAAGAATAACTGTAAACTATTGAAATAAGATGGAAGGAAACAAACTAAATGTATAATAAATAATATTTTTTTACAATGCTAAAATGGTTTTAATAGGTCATTTAGTCCACTGAATTCTTGGCATGCCAGTTACGTACCCTTGCACGATACCATTAGTGAATCCAAGGTGTTCTGAGAAGGACTCCTGAAACACAAAGTAACTAGTTACAAACAAAACTTGGGGGGTGGGGGAGGGGAACAATAATGCAACCACATTCATAAAAATCATAGAATGGACTTTGTTAATTATAGAGAGGGGAGAGGGGAACAATTCTAACCAATAAGGAACCAGTGTAGATATTACTGCATGCACAGACAGTGACCTCTGACACCTACCTCTATGTGCTGGAACATGTAGGGGTGGTTACAGATCTTTCTCAGCTGCATGATTGTGTTCATGAGAGTCTTGGTTCCTCCTTTACCCTGTATTGAAAGGTCAATAAAAATTAACAGAGCACATTCACAATCTGAGTACGGACCTAATTAATATAACCAAATAGGATATTCAGCATCAGATCACTTGATAAACTAAAACGGAAAATCACTAGTGTGACCCACCAATTAAAAATAAATAAATATAAGAGCAAAGTGTAACAAACATTTCCGACGTGAAGGGGAGGGAGGAAGGAAAGCACTTTTTTTTTTTTAAATAAAATTTTATGATGGGGAAAAATGGGGGAGGAGGGTTCACAACCTAAAAACAACTAGGTACAACTGCAGCGGTGATTATCGTGAAGGCTTAAGGGTGTGTAAATTTGACTTTTTAGGTAAAGTGAACACAAGTGTTTGCTGTGTAATCGATTTTGTTGTCCTATTGTCGTTACAGTACTTATTTGTGCTTTAACCACAATTCCATAGTAAAAACGTTTGGAAAACTGGCTTCTAAGCATTAATTCGTGTAAGGATGCTGTTCTGCTCATGCACAAACTCTGAACATTTTGAGATATTAGTTTTACATTGGAGATAAACTGACCTTTTTATCTTTTTCTGAACCGTCTGTCAGAAGGACTCCCTTGGCCTGCATGTGTCTGTATAAGACGCGCTGCAATGCGGACATGTCACACTTGATGACATATTCGACCTGTTGAAAAGACAGAGGATTATTATCTAGTCCATAGCCCTGACATCATACCCTAAGCACCAGAGAGGCAAATAACAAAATGCTGCAGGAAAGCAAGACAAAAACAAAAACACACACAAAAAAAATAAAATAATCTTGTACACTCTGAACCGTAAAAATGTGAAAGGAAAACCTTTAAAAGAAGAAACTGAATAAACTAAATATATTCATGAGTCCCCAAAGGTGTATTGGCCTGAGAACAACAGATAGTGAAGGGGAGATCACTGTATATCCTGTACACTTATTTACAAATGGAATCCAACTAAGAGATGATCGCGCTAGCGAGTTTCAGGCAACAAAATGTATTTTCATTTAATTACGTGTAGGGGTCATCTTTTTGCACAGGTTATACATTTAGTATTTTTAAACCTAAAAGAATAAAGACGATCGGATGATATCTGGTCTTTCATACCTACTTAGATAATACCTTTGTATTTAGTGGGGATCATTAAGATTTCTGTGATGACGAATGGAATGTTTCCATTTATCCCGAGTCTATTTGATTACCATGCTTTAGCTTCCAAAACAGAAAACTAAATGACTACATGTTGCCACAATTTCCTGTCTGAATGAAGGTCTTCTAAAACAAGATGCCCAACATGACTCGGAATTACTTTATATGGCACAAACATCTTGCAGACATTGTGCCAGCAAATGCATAGCCGCAAAGAAAGTCCTTTGAGGGGTCCAAACACACCATACATCAACACCCTGACAACTTTTATCCCACAACTCCTAACGTATAACTGAAAGCTAGAAATTGTAGGATAACTGCTTCAATTAAGGGTGGGCGCATGTGCACCAACCAATCCAAGGCAACCTGCCACGTATGGAGAAAAAAAAAAAAGCCAAGACGCAAACTTTTAGTAGCTACAGACTAAATATTATACACTTGCAGGAGATTTCATCAACACACAGGAAAAGATTCCGCCAGTATCTAGCAGAGTGCGAACATGTGACCCACACAATTTGTAGATGTCATGTTTACTCTGAGCTACCCTTCAGGATCATAAGATAGTTCTAAGCTGGGAAGATATTAACTGTCCGACAACTGAAGAACTTCAATTACACCCCAAGGTTGTATGTTTTAGTCCCGTGATCAACAATCCATTTTTAAAAAAAAATTTTTACTTTCAAGGTACAAAAAAATTGGTCCCAATGAGATGGTGGGGACAGCATCTATTTATAAAAGAAATAGAATTTGAAAGCATGCTCCAAGCATTTTTAACAACTCTTCAAAAAGGTAAGAAGTTATTAACCAACTACACAAACCTTTTCTGGCAGCTGAGCTTCTACTTCCTTTTTAAGTCTTCGAAGCAAGAATGGACGTAGGACTTTATGAAGACGTCTGATAATTAGAATGGTTTCCTCTTCATTTAGATCGACCTGTGCCGACAAAGGAATGGTGTGAAATCATTTGTGTTTCCATGGGAGACATTAAAAGCAGATTCTTTATCAGTTTTCAACATACGAGAGAAATCAACGCCATTAAAGCACTTTACAATCAACAAAAAAAAACACAAAAAAAACTTTGATATTTCAGCCTGCAGAGCACAGATAAGACTATTCTAATACGTTTATGAGAATCTATCTAATTTGCTAGATTGTTACATTTCACAAGACTGCTATACAGCAATAAAATACATGTTACAAGACTTCAAAAGATTTAAATGGCAGGTCAGTAGAAAGCGTTCTGAGCTGCGGCTGTTTGAAAGTGATTTACGAGAGATGCTGTGTTCACTCAGGACAGGCTTTGTGGATTGAACGATGCCTTAAGTGTAGAAATAAATTAAGCAGAGACTAGAAGCAGCCTTGAAGTCCAAACTCCGTATAAATAATATTTAGAATAGCATTGATGACATACCTTTTCCCCAGTCATTGCAAAAGGGGCATTGAACCACTGCTCAAAAGTGCTGCAGCTTTTGAAGATAGTTGGAAGCAGGAAGTTGAGCAGGGCCCACAGTTCTGGGAGCTTGTTCTGCAGTGGGGTCCCTGTCAGAAGCAGACGTCGGGGGGCAATGTAATGTGTGTTTAGCACTTGTGTGAGCTTGCAGTGATGGTTCTTCATCCGATGGCCTTCATCCACAATCATGTACTTCCACCTGATCTGTAAGCAGAGATGGAAAAGTTATCAGCCTTGTTCTAACAGAACATTGGGGCAAAAGAAGAAAGGAAAACATAGGATACAAACAGAAACCCTTTATCCATTTATCTTACACCCCAGGACAGACACTATCAAAGAAGAGATACCCTTAACAGATTTAATGTTCAATTCAGTAAAGAGACACTGGTAAAATATAGGAAAATGTGCCTTTAAGTGATATTTGCAGACACTGCCAGAAGCCCACTACTTATCAGGCCTTGTGACAAAGCAACACACACCTTGGCCAGAATGTGCTTGTCCTTAATGATGTACTCATACGTAGTGAGGAGGACGTTAAACTTCCCACTGCGGAGCTGGGGAACGAAGGCGCGGCGAGCAGCAGGTGAGCCCTGTAAAAACAGACAGCAAGAGGCATAAAAAAAAATAAAAAATAAAAAAAAGAAATACTCTTTCCCTGTCACCCAAACTGACATTAAAATCCAAATTTTCCTGGAACTTAATGGCCAATAATCCGAAATGGCCCATTTTATTTTACATAGTTACATAGCTGAAAAGAGACTTGCGTCCATCAAGTTCAGCCTACCTCACATTTGTTTTTTGCTGTTGATCCAAAAGAAGGCAAAAAAAAACCCAGTTTGAAGCACAATTTTGCAACAAACTAGGAAAAAAATTCCTTCTTGACCCCAGAATGGCAGTCAGATTTATCCTTGGATCAAGCAGTTATTACCCTACATTGAAAGATTATATCCTTGAATATTCTGTTCTTGCAAGTATGCATCTAGTAGCCGTTTGAACATCTGTGGACTTAGAACACACATTTGAAAAAGAGTGGCATCATTTTATTAAAATAGCTTTGCTACTAAACAAAGGTGTTCATGTTTTTGACATGAAGTGGATTTCCCACTACGACTACATCATAAAGGCCTTTAACAAGCCTGGGTGTTCATGGACAAAGAACCTTGGGCAATTACAGAACTGCGTGATTCCATTGCAGGTCTTACATCTTTGTATTAACGTGAATTACAACTTTGGTTTTATAGTTTCAGTAGGAGCTGCGCCCCTGTGTGCATATTATTATGATTATACACAACATTTTATATGTATGTCAACTTACCTTGTATGATACTTTCACCACTGATGGCCCCCATTTATCAAACTCATAAACCCAGTTGGAAAGTGTTCTGCAACAGAAAGGATAAAAATCATATTAGTCCCATTAAATCACACTAAAAAACGCCTACCTTTCCCGACCCTGTGCAGCATGACTGGAAAGTCACCAAAGCACCAATTATAGAGCAGAAAAACTACATTTAAAAGAAAAAGGGTTTTCGTGTGTAGAGTGTGTCTTTGGTTTCATTTCACAAAAGTGATGATTTCAAGAGAAATTGTCACTTTTATAAATGAATACTAAAATACCTCCCTGGCAGTCACGCAGCAGGGAGGCACTGTTTGGCCCGGTTGAAACTGCTCATTGAGAAGTGATTGTCTAAGAAGGCTTTGATTGGTTATTGCCTAGCTCAGACCAAATCTGTTCTGGAGAAGAAGGAAAGTGTTTTCAGTATTGTCAGATATTAGATCTGCAGCTATTGCAAGCCACTATTCCTATACCCTATACCACCAAGAGAAAACATGCATACATACATACATACTCTTTTTTGGAAATATATCTACTAAACTGATTTTTCATTTCTATATACATTGCCATAATGCTATTTCACACAGTCATATAGAATTAGGGGATTTCCACGAAGTACATTTGCACACGAGCCCACAGTTTGAGATTACAATTCACTTAGGATGTGAATCTGACTTGTATGCCTGTTAGTGTGCCTGTGAGGATTGAAGATTGGACAAACAATCTATAGAATATACAATAGCTTGGTGGTTAAATGGTTAATGGAAACACAGAAGAGCTGCTCAACTCTATTAAAACCCATTAGTGACCACGTGAAAAAGGTTCAAGATGAAGTTTAAAAGTCTTGGTCACTAATACCACATTTCCAACTATGCATCATATTAAGAGCCTCAGAGCGAAATTCTCTTGTAAGCCAATAATGGCTAATCCAGTCATTGCCGCTAAGGATCATGGGAAAAGTAATCTACAGAAGCATCAGTGGTAAACATTGGCCAATACAATGCTCTAGGCAGTTCCAATCTGGTGAAACTCACGAAAGTGGCACGATAATCAGGAAGGGGCCATTAATCCGCTTGTGTTCCATGAGGTATGTTATGAGTCCAATGGTCTGGATAGTTTTCCCCAGACCCATTTCATCAGCGAGGATGCCGTTCAGGTTGTTATTGTATAAAGAAACCAGCCACTCGAGACCTTTAACCTGTGGAAGAGAAAAAAAGCATAAATTAACCACAGAAACAGATCGCATCAGAAAGCTAAAAGTTTAGAAAGTAGTATGAACTCCAGCATGCACACACACATTATACAAATAAATGTACATTAAAGAATAGCAAGGTGGAGAAACTCACCTGGTATTGCTTCAGGAAACCATTCACTAGCAGCGACGACTGTTTCTCTACTTTCTCACTCACGGCATGTGCCACAGCATAATATGACTGAAGACCTCTTTCTGCAGCCTGTGATATACTGTATTCATCATCCACGTCCTGTCTGGCACACCTGCAGGCAAGAAAAGTTGATTTTTAAAAAGGATTACCATAAAAAGGTTTGAATGAGAACAGAGGAAGCAGACAGCCTGGGAATCAGATGTGTTCATAATCAAATTTGATTTAAAGTCCCCATATAAGTTTTAGCTGTAGGCTGGACGATTAATAATTTAAAAAACAAAACGCTTTTGTAGCAGAGGTTAGCAGTTAAGGCATCCCTGTCCTTATTACAAAGTCCTTTTCCAAGGATTTAGGATTTATAAATAAAAGACTGCTAATCTGCTGGTTACAGAAACATCGAGAATGGAACGTTTACAAGCCTACAATACTCACTCGATAATTTCCCGAGCGTAAAACTCTGAGACCTCATCACTGTCTGGGTCGGGAATTTTCTTCTCCCCTACTGTGGGCAAAGCAGTGACTGAAGACATTGGCTGCTCTTCCTCTTCCTGGGTCAAAGGACAAAGCATTAAGAGAGTCAGTTTCAAACAACATATTCTAACAGTATATCCTAGACTGGTAGGAAGCCCATTTATACTTTATCCACAGAGCCAAAGTGTTTACCTACAATACATCATGAGGAGAAATATATTTGGAGCCTTGAGTTTGTCTGCTTGGACTGAAGTCAGTTAACCGTAACCAAATACTTCCAAGTGTATTTCAATTATATTAAAAGAATCTATAATATTTCTTTATACTATAGATGTGCTGTACATTTATGATTATTGCATATGCCTACCCAGAATCCTTTGCAGTAGTAACATCACTGCAGATTTGTGATTTCTGTGGGAAAGGCAAGTCTTATGGCTTGACTGGTGTGCAGATTTTATTTTAACATTGTATTAACTATCCACAAACGTCATGTGGAAGGGGTTTTCAATCACAATTTTTTCCCACCATAACCTTTTTGGATTTTGCTTCCCAAGCACTACCAAGCCTCAATACGCAAACCAGTAACCAACCTTATGCTGATGAGTTGCATTAACAACGAAACAGCTGTCCTTGAGTGGTTCATTGGCTTTGCATCTTTTCCTAACTTGTGTCTCAAGCTGTTGGTATACCGCAAACACAGACTAAAAGGAATACATGTTTAAAATGGAATGAGGCAAAAATGTAATTGTTAAGCTAATTTGCATATGCCCACCCAGAATTCTTTGCAGTAGTAACATCACTGCAGATTTGTGATTTGTGGGAAAAGCAAGTCTTATAGCTTGACTGGTGTGCAGATTTTATTTTAACATTGTATTAACTATCCACAGACTTCAGGTGGAAGGTGTTTTCAATCACAATTTTTCCCCACCATAACCTCTTTGGATTTTGATAGATAAATAGCTAGAGATATAGAGATATCTATATCTAGAGCATAGGCGTGCGCAGCCTATTGCATTAGGGTGTGCACCCTAAAGCACAAGCACACGCCATATACATATATACATACATATACACACACACACACACACATATATATACATACATATACACACACACACACACATATATATACATACATATATATATACACATACATACATATACATATATATATATACATATACACATTATATATATATATATATATATATATATATACACACACACACACACACACACACACACACACACATATACACACACTGCTGTATGTGTGTGCGGGTGCTGTTAGTGTGATGTGTGTGTGACGATGCTGTTAATGTACTGTGTGTGAGGGTGCTGTTTGTGTGTGTGCTTGTGAGGATGCTGTTAATGTACTGTGTGTGTGCGCGCTTGTGAGGGTGCTGTTAATGTACTGTGTGTGAGGGTGCTATTAATGTACTGTGTGTGAGGGTGCTGTGTGTGTGAGGGTGCTGTTAGTGTGCTGTGTGTGTGTGAGGGCGCTGTTAGTGTGCTGTGTGTGTGTGAGGGTGCTGTTAGTGTGCTGTGTGTGTGTGAGGGTGCTGTTAGTGTGCTGTGTGTGTGTGAGGGTGCTGTTTGTGTGCTGTGTGTGTGTGAGGGTGCTGTTTGTGTGCTGTGTGTAAGGGTTCTGTTTGTGTGCTGTGTGTGTTTGTGAGGGTGCTGTGTGTGCTGTGTGCGTCTGTGGGTGCTGTGTGTGCGTCTGTGGGTGCTGTGTGTGCGTCTGTGGGTGCTGTGTGTGCGTCTGTGGGTGCTGTGTGTGTCTGTGGGTGCTGTGTGTGGGTCTGTGTGTGATTGTGGGGGTACATTATTTGCTATCCCCCCTCCCTTCTTACCTTTTGTAGGGAGGGGGGATGTGCTGCTGCTTCCTTCCCTGGTGGTCCAGTGGAGAGTGAACTCTAACCCCCTGTGGGGCTAGAGTTCACTCTCGCGAGATTTGAGCGTTGCCGTGGCAACGCTCATATCTCGCGAGAGGAACCCGGCGGAGCTGCCGGCAATAGCTCCGCCGGGTCCTCCCTCCCTGCGGGCCGGTGGGGAGAGAGGCTGAGAGCAGAGCCGGCGCCGGCTCTGCATGAGCCGACAGGGGGGATCCTGAGATCTCCCCTGCCGGTCTCACTCCATAGGCGTGCCGCGGGATTAGGGTGTGCCCAGGCACACCCCGTGCGCACGCCTATGATCTAGAGATATCTATATCGAGAGAGAGAAAGATATTTATTTGTGAACAGAAAGAAATCTGAAGCAGCAAGTATATCCATAAAGCAGTCCTCACATCTTCAAAAACTAGTCAGAAATCTTTGACTTTCTATAGACTATAGAAGCATAATTTTTCACCCTAGCCAAAAGTAAGGTATTCTATGTCACAGAAGGGGTAAATCATATATGCAGAATCCTTAGTGTTTTACGATTCAAGAAGAATTACATTACAATAATGTTCAAGTCGCCAATAAACAGCATACATTTTACACACTGGAACACAAATTGAACAAAGCTACGTTAGTCTCATCAATTTCTATATAGTTGGCATTTTTTTCCTAAGCAAATGCATGCCAGAGATACTATTCCTCGAGGCAGTAACTACATTTCCTTGATGCTGTCTTAGCTTCATGAGAAAGTAGCCAACATCTGCAGTACCGTATCAGGTCACAAACACTCGAAAGTAAAGAGACACTGGCAATCCTTACTTGGCACTGCAGATGATGAGATCTCTCCTTCAATGGCATAAGTGGATAATATATTGTGTGCCCAAGTAAGCCCTATAGATTTATCTACAAATGCCCTTTTTACAGCGTAACTCACCTCTTCCTCCTCATCTGATTCGCTCTCCTCGCTGTCTGATCTGGGAGCCACTTCATATCTATAAAGAAAACCAAATTAAGTTCAAATTCAAATGTCAATCAAGTCACGGATGTGAGCAATTTCACAAACTTTTCGGACACCATGTATTAAAAATCTACAATAACAAACACAAGGTGTCAGTGTTCCCTAGTGATAAACACCTCTTTGTCACGGTTGTCCTTTCCTCTCATTTAATCTGCACATATCTTACAAAATTCGTCTATTTATTTCCAACAGTTTTCCTCTATTCCATTACAAAAATATACTGAAATTTATTTTATTTAAATATGCAATTGGTCAGGATATCCCACAGAATAGGACAACCTACAATAACCCCAGTTACACAATACCTGTGGAATTTAAAGGAAGACAAATGTATAGTGTTAAAACCCAGCATTTAGGCATATGTCTAGACCTTCTCGCGAGATAACCGTTTTATGCTCATTTACCATAGACATACCTGACTAGCATGTATTCATCTACATTTACCAAAAATGTGCAAGAAAACTGTATGCCATGACAAGGTTATAACATGTATATTATAATTTGGGTTTGTGCCGCTGTCGTGGCGTAAGATACCTGCTTTGTTCGTGATATGCACAATAAAATAAAGAGTGACAAAAAAAAACAAAAAAAAAAACATAAGGTGGCTTGCCCCCCCATAAAAGGTAAGAAAAAAAAATAAAAAAAAAATAAAAAAACACAAAACAAAAACAAAAAAAACTTACCTTATTTCCAGCACCGTGTGGGTATGCCGGTGCTGGCCCTGCCCTGATCCGCCTCCTTGACTGACATCAGAATTTATGATCTCAACCAAAGGAGCGGTGCCGGAGCAGGGCCAAATGGCAGCTTGGCCAATCAGCATCTCCTCAGAGATGCATTGCCCCAGGAAGCACCTCCAGTGGCCAGAGGAGTGACTACTGGAGGTGTCCCTAAGCAGCAATGTAAACACGGTCTGATCTCTGAAAAGGCAGCATTTACAGAAAAAAGCATGCAGGGACTGACCATACTCACTAGAACAACTACAGTAAGTTATTTGTGACACTATATACTTAGCTTCTCAAAAGAGTGGGTAAAAAAAAAAAAAAAAAAAGTAAAACACGAGGCAGAGTGTGCCAAAAACCACTGTGAATAAAGCCAGCTTGCAGGAAGACGATTCGTTCAATAAACAGTTTATGGTTCCATGTGTGAGCAACTGATAAAAATAAACCCTCTGAATGAGATCCGTGAAGCTCGAGTAATCATTTCAAGTTCTACAAGTGTTTGTGAATTTTTGATCTACAACAGACACTGTACTGACAATCAGCTGTACGTACCCAGGATTCATTTCCAGCCATGTCTCCAGTTGTCCAGCCTTTGGAGCATCAGCTCCAGTGAGTTTCTTTCCACTCTCCATGTGGATGACTTTGACCGGAAGATCACTCATCTGACTGGTCTCATCCAGTGGCTGCAGAAGGAAGATGGTGGAGAAGGTTAATGGACACATTCGCTTGACCTTGGATTCCCAGAACCCTTCATAATGTTCCTCTAGCCAGGAAGGATGCATTCCTACTCACCTCTCCATCTGGTCCAAGTACAGGCTGCTGACCCTCTGCATTCTCCTGCACCTGCAACAACAGCCATTCTTGAGAATTTGTACATGAATCAGACGTGAAAAAGGTTCACATCTGGCCAAGACCCTGACAGCAGCACATTACAGCACTGTGTTGTAATGACATGGTCATACAGGCACCCCACCTTTTTTTTTTTTCTCCTCTTCTTCTCTTTTAAAACCTGAGCGGCTTTGTGTTGCCTGACCAGCTCTGTCAGGTTGGCTACATACTCATCCGTCTGCTGTAGGAGGTAAGCAAGACGCTTGTCTTTCTTTTGGTCAATAAGCTTCCTGTAACCTTCCTCATCTTCGGCCTAAAGGAGGAAGAAACAAAACACACATGAGCAAAGAGGAACATTCACTCACCAAACCAACATCTAGAACAAACCAGAGAGTTTCATTTCAACAGTCCGCAAAAGCTTCTCAAAACCCCGTGTTGGGCTGGGATAAGGTAGATTCCAAATGGTTTACATTTAAACTGATCTTGGTATACAGGATAGGGTAAAAGCATCTGGAAATTAATTATAATTTTATAAACCAGTGTAGATTTATAGAACAACTTGAGGGAACAAAGCCTTATTAAAAAGTAACCCGCCATAAAGACTAGAAAATACATATAACCTAAAAATGCACAAACATTTTATTAAACGTTAAATAACTTATGTGCCAGTGGTCGGAGTAGAACATACTGACCATAAGCCTCCGCATTCTCTCTTTTTCAATTCTCTCATTCTCCTTTTTCTGTTCCCGTTCTGTATTAGCATGGTACGTGGCCACAGCCTTGGTCAGTTTCTGGATCTTCCCTGTTACGGAGCGGTGGAATTCTTTGAAGTCCTTGGCATGCTGGAGAATGCTGTTTAGATATTCCTGGAAATAGGGCGTGGGGGAGTGGAGGAAATAAAAGACAAGGTAAGATTGAAAGTAGTCGCATTTACAAGTTACATTATAAGAATTTTCAGGGAAGAAAAAATAAATATAGTATGTTGAAGTGAACCTGTCATTTTCAGTTTTCGAATATTTAACTTGACTTCCGCTAAACAAGAATTTCTTCCCTTAATACAGTCATAAAAGCTCATATTTACATTTATTTCCAATAGCCCATCTCCTGCTGAAAACATCTACAATGACGTTACACTCTTTTTGAGAGCGCAGACTTGCTTCCAATAACAGGTTAAAAAACCACAACACTTTATGCTGCTTTTGTGTAAATAAAATTTATATGTTCTCTCTCCATTCTCAGACAGACTGTCCAAAATGGTTTCAATAAATAGTTTCTCTATTCTCTCAGAGCTGCTGCTGCTTCTGCTCTGGCACAGCGCCTTCCCCTTCTCTATACTTCTCCATTTCCTAGGAATTCTGCTGTCATTTAAGATTAAGCTGTATTTGTCATGACAGTTACCCAGTGCTAACCAACAATAATTCTTCTTGAAGTTCGCTGCTCTAAAAAAAAGAAAGGCATGCATGAAGATTCAAAAGGACATAATTTGAGCAGTTTATCTCTAGAAATGATGAAGCAATGGTTTCCGGCCATTTTAGTAGTTCTCTGTTACAACACAGCAGATTTTTATCTTCTCAACTAACCTGGTGTTTCTGGCGCCTTTTGCGTTCCTGTTCAACCTTCTGCTGTTTCTCTAATTTCTCTGTTATCCGCGCCTCTCTCAGGGATTGGCGCTTGCTGCGTTTGTAGGCCTTGGCATTCAGTGCAGTTTCCAGTGCAGTGTCCCGCCTCATACAGACGACTACTTCCTGCCTTAACTGTATTACAATTTGAGAAGAAACCAGGTAAGGCACATCTAGAATGTAGTGTTACAAATCGTATCCTTGCGTTATGTGAAAATCTTTTAACTCATCCAGCCTGAGTTTGAAAGGTTCCAGCTGGTACAGACTACAGTTCCCATAAACCTCAACAGTTGCGCTCACCTGTCTCTGGAAGTTCAGAAGTCTCAGTGCCTTTAGCTCTATGGTAGCTTTGGTCCTCAGATCTCCGGCCAAAGAACCCGGAAGATTTTCCAGCTCCTGGATTCGGTGTGCAATTCTTGCCTGAAGCCTGCAGAGAGAGCATGGTGTGAGATATGAAACCACCCACCTTGAATCGTTTATACAATCAGCAAAGAAAGATTCCAAGGCTGTATTAAAGGAAACTCATTTTACCATTAATGGAAAAAAAAAAACGAAATAAAAAACTACTTGTTAAGTTGACCCTGCTGGGAACAGAATGTGAGATTCTAAGGATTAAGAAAATTTACAGCTGGCACACTAATCAACTTATCTCCATAGCTTCACAATGACTACCAAAGCTCCCACTGACTAGAAAGTCAAAATAGGATGTGTTAGTTTTCCATGTGTTGCATATAAAGCAAGCAGTTGTGCACAACAGGGTTTAAGTGAACAGGGATCTTCTCAGTCCCAGCAGTTAGGTGCAGATAAATCTGGATTTATAAAAAAAACTCCCATGATCTTTATTATTACTAGCCTGTAATAACCATTTGAACTTCTCACCTGTATTCACGTTCCTGCAGCACTTCTACAGGATCGAGACCCCGAGGTTTTTGGATGGGGGTGATTCTGTTGGGCTTGGGATGGAACTGTACCATAGGAGGAGGTTGTGCAGGCTGCCCTGGCGACTGCGTCTGTGGGGGCATGACAGGAGAAGCAGCAGGAGGCACGGCAGGAGGAGCAGGCGATGGTCGACCCGTAGGCTGAGGAGGAATCAGCTTCTGGGGGGCAGTAGCTGGAGCTGCTGCATTAGCCATAGGAACTAAAAACAGAGCATAAGGCAGTTGGAGAAATATACTGAATCTACATCTGTAGTAAATTTTACTATGGTTCCACCACCAAAGAGACAGTTACACTTTAGGCTAATCAAGGCAAGTTAAACTATTTATTAAGCAACAATTAAAGAATAGAAAGTTAACTTTGCTCAAATATGGTATTTGTAATATCACTTACCCTCAGGCCACGGTTTAGCAGGAGCACCAGGAGGGTGACCAGGTATCCCATGGGGAGCACCAGAAGGCCCTGGTGGAGGCATGGTGGGCCCGGCCATACCTGTACAAGAAAGCAGATTTACAATTTGAAAAATGCATGAAATGAGCAGTATGAAGTAAAGCATTAAACTCTCGGTGCTATAGGAACTGTTGTATATTGGTTTAGACCGATAACTGCATCGGCACGCCAGCGGTTATTCAACTTAATTTCCAATAATGTTAAACCAGCTTTAGGGTTGGCTGAGCATCATGGAAAAAAAAAAGTTTAAAAAGATTAGCAGTCACTTGTATAGTCCACTCTAAAAGAATTGAAGACAATTAAAAGTTCCGATCGATCTAAATCTGTATATAGCTCTTACCGTGAGGTCGGTTGTAGTTAGGTGGTGTTGGCCCAGGTCCTGGACCCGGCCCTGGGGAAGGCCCTGTACCAGTCCCAGAAGCTGCGGGTGGAGGTAGTGTTGGCATCTGCTGCTGCATACCAGGCATGGGTCTTTTTCCCTGCACGGCCATTTGAAGGTGATCAGGTAAGGCCTGACCTCTGGCCAACATCTTGTAAGCCATTATTTGTGCGCGTAACTGATGCAGCTGATTCTGATTGAAAGGTGTCGGGGTGCGGTTTGTTTGTTGTTGCGGCTGGGGGTCAGAGTTTTCCATGTTCACCCCTCCAGTTCCAGAAGGCAGAGGGGGGCCAGAAGGTGGCCCATTAGAGGGCACAGGGCTTGACACATGCTCAGAGTTTCCCAGGGGTGAAGGATACCCTGAAAAATACAACAAATTAAAGCTCTTCTGTTGTGGAGATTACCATAAATTGTATGTCAAGGCATAGAGTTCGGTTTACCTTGTGAGTGTTGGTCCATAGGACTTGGTGGGGGTCCCATCCCAGAGTGACCACCAGGTCTCATGGCCATACCTTTCATCTGGTTATAACGAGTGTCTTCAGGTATTGTCTTGTCATGCATGGAATCCATTGGCTAAGAAGAGAAGGGGGGACACACAACTGATGAAAACTGCTACAAATCAATATTCAGGTCATCATTGAAGTATAGAGGTTTAAGGAGAATACATTTACAAAATATATAGATTTGAAGAAATGTTTAAAATGTTTTTTCTCTCTCTCTCTCTCTTCCCCCCTTTTTAATATAGTAGGAAAGGAATACAGTAAAGTTATTTTTTATTTTAATTACTATGTTCTGTTATGAATAAAAAAAATTTTTTTAAAAAACCCCCAAATTAAATCTGTTTTCTTTATAACACTATATATTCAAAAAACTGGTTCAAAGTAAAGATCAGTGTCACACACACAGAATTGCTAGGAGAATACTGACCTTGTGCATTTGGTGCATATTCTCAGATGGATAACCAGTTGGTCCCTGCGGAGGCATAGGGGGCCCAGGACTTGGTCCCATCATGCTGTGTGCAGAACCTGGAGAAGGACCTGGGCTGGGACCTAACATAGCACCAGGAGAAGGTCCTGGCCCAGGAGAGGGGACAGGCCGAGGGGTACCCCCCATAGGAGGGTCGGGGGTGGACATTTCCTCAGAGCGATAATCCAAACAACGCCAACCTGCACAAAAAGCAATAGTTTAAGAGTTACAGAATACTCTGTGCCTTTAACTAGAAGTGCACGGATACCAAATGTATCTGTCAGAATTCTACCAATATCCAGGAGAAAATAAATTAGTTTTCTTCTACGCTAAACACAAGGAGATTGACTGGCACCTAGATATACCAAAACCGAACACCAATATATTCAACAGCATGTCATTGGAAAACATACTGATTTAGACAGATAGAAGATGGCCTTGCTCAAACGCACTTATTAGTCTAGGACAGCGATTCCCAAAATGTTTCCCCGGCGCTATGATTATAGATGTCCCTCACCACCCCACTAGCACTGAAATGCTGAAGCCGGCAGGTGAGTGAGAGAGGACCTGGGGGGAGCTTTAACCTGCAGCTCTGCCGGGTTCTCCTCTCGTGAGCTTGGCGTGTTGCCTCGGTTACCATAGCAATGCTCCAACTTAGTTAACTCTAGTCTCAGGAGCTGCTAGAGTTCACTCTCACCACATGGACCACAAGGTCTTAGTACTGTCCCCCACTCCCATGCAACTGCCCCTATTCCCCTACTACAGCCTAGGGATCGACAGATTATCGGTCTGGCAGATATTATCGGCTGAGAGTCTGTATTTCTGGCAAGATCGGTATCGGCCAATAGAGATGCTGATAATACATACCAGGACCGCTGGGCCGATTACAAGCCCGGTGGTCCTGCGTGGGCCCGCAGCATTCCCAGCCGCTCCCTGTGTAAATCTCGCGAGTCCCGCAGCAGAGCGTTGCCACGGGTTACCATGACATTTACACAGGGAGCTGAAGGGAGCTGCTGGAAAGATAAGTAAGAGCTTGCTGCTGGGCCCCCACTGTACTTTCCATGCCACTGGACCACCGGGAATGCTATATCCCCCCCTCTCTGATAAATGCCCCCTCCCCCCCACAACTTACATCCCTACACACACACTCTGCATTCGCTATACACACACACTACATGTGGCATGTATATTTTGTGCGTTTACCTTTAGAAATAGTTTATTTTACCAAAATAGTAAACGTACAGAATATCGGCAAGTTATCGGCTATAGTTAATTACGGTATAGTCCATGCATTCTACAACCCCTATCCCGGCAAATCCCCAGTAAGATGTCAAACTGCAAGTTATCGGCTACAGAGTGCTGTAGTGGTTATTGTGCCTGTATTGTTTCTTTTTTTTTTACTTGGGTCGACTTGGAAAAATATTGAAATATTAAGGGCGCCTTGAACCTAAGAAGGTTGGAAACCACTGGTCTACACAGTGCTGAAAAAACTAGAAATGGATGTTTATGTGGGGTACCATGACATATTGTTGAGCTGACCGCATTGAATAGTTGGGATGTCAACTGGTTATGTTATGTCATTTTAAGAGCAGTCTTTGGTTCTGTTTGGCAGATTGAGGACATATTGTAAGATGCATGGATGGCAAAGCTGTTCAGTTTGATGATCTTTTCACAGTTACCATATGTGACACATATTAGATATCTTAAGGGAAATTAGCTAGGTTTGATAATGGATCATAGATTGGGCCCAGGCTTTGACAAGCCATTACTATTAAAGGACCACTATAGGCACCCAGACCACTTCAGCTTAATGAAGTGGTCTGGGTGCCAGGTCCAGCTAGGATTAACCCCTTTTTTCTATAAAGCATAGCAGTTTCAGAGAAACTGCTATGTTTATAAATGGGTTAATCCAGCCTCTAGTGGCGGTCTCTTGACAGCCGCTAGAGGCGCTTGCGTGCTTCTCACAGGGCACTATAGTGGCCCTTTAAAACAGAAAATGATGGTTTTTTTTACTATTCACTAGCAAGCCTTTTTACTGAAAAGTTAGATCCGATTTAAAACATTTACTGCTAAAAGCACAAGACATTTGAATAAAAGGCTCAAATTGCAGACGTATGTCATGCCAAGAAATTGTATATCTTTGTGACATTAAAATGCCAGACTACTTCCTTAACTCCATGCCACAACTTTAATGCATACTAAATTCTGCGATAAAATAAGAACTAAGCACAGAATCATTAGCTCACAAATTTACTGGTAAGCCATTTGTTAATCGTTCAATTACATATAGCTGCATTAATGCATGCAAGAACTAATGCTACCATAGAAAAGCACCCAAAGCCAGGGACTGGCTGAAAGACTCCAGACACTTCTTGGATGCTAATGATATTGAAATGCAAACTGAAAAGGGAGGGGTGCACCATTTAATAAAAGCATTTTAACATTTTTTTTAAGATTCAGCTTACAGAAAGACATTTTCTTGTTTTGAACTGGTATATGGAGAATATATTTCACACCTTAAAGCTTACACAATTTACACCGAAAACATCAGGGAAACACATACAAAATATACATAGAACATAAATGAGATTAAACATAAATGAGCAATTTCAAACAGGGTCCTCCTCAGTCTATTATTCCGATAATATTTTGTAATTGTTGTTGTAATGATATTACCACTTCATAATATCGTAAAGCACTGCGGTATATGTTGGCGCTATATATATATATATATATATATATATAGTGATAATCGGTGGCACGAGAGGCAGAGTTTGGTTTCCAGCAAGATGTTCTATTGTGCATGCACACTACATGGCCATTTAAAAATGGCCTCTGCAAGGCCATCACAAAGTGAAAATGGCATGTTTTAGAAATGGGAGACTTCAGAGAAATATCAGGCTCATAAAAAAGTTTTTCAGGACCAAGAACTGTCCCCTGGCAAATGGGAAAAGGGATATTCATCCCACCTTGTTTGATTGCCATCTCCTGTTCTATTGTGTTTGATATCCCACTTCCTATAAGACTGTAAGCTCGTTTGAGCAGAGCTCTCTTTAACCTATTGTTCATGTAAATTTTTGTAATTGTTTCATTTATTGTTAAATCTCCCCCTCTGATAATAGTGTAAAGCGCAACGGAATATGCTGGTGCTATATAAATACCAGTAATAATAATTCATAAAACAAAGGCTGAGATACTCTAATAAAACATACACACAAGACAACGATTGGATAGGTTTTCATAAAAGCTCAGAATTAGCAATTGCTGTGCTTATGATCTACTGCCTGGTGCCTTAGGGTAGAAAGACTCATTTTACGTTGGACTGGTAAATTTAATTAAAGAACGAGAAGCCGATTAATGGCTTGCTACACTCTTAATGTGGAATTACTGGCACTTTGATGTCTTGCTTGCATTAAATCACAAGGCCAGCCCTGCTCAGCCAACGTACCTTACCAAAGAAATTAAATTAGGATTGAAGAGAAGATAAAACACAGCCGTATGGAAGAAACTGGGTGTTTCTAGAACGAGTTGCTCATTTTGCAGACGCCAGATGAAAAGCACAGGAGAGGGGGAAAAGCTTCAAAAGCAAAATGCATTAATTATTGATGTTTTTATCGATGCCTTGGCAGACACTAAAGCGTGCAAAAGGGCTGAGAATAAAAGAAAGCAGACAGACACTTAACATCTCAGGCATCTACAGTGCATTGCTGTATACAGAATAATAAAGCATTTCTACCCAGTACATGTCACATACCATTATAATCTGCATTACTAAAAGGAGTGCACAGTCCTTCAGACAGGTCCCCTGTTACCCACAACAGCCATATGTGAACTGCTAGCTTTATCATCTAGTCTACACGAAGAGAACAAGCCATCATCCATGCCCATTATTATCCAGAATAGATCACATAAACTGGATTGGACTGCAGAAACTAGGCACAAATAAAGTCCTTTAGAAACATAACCAATAGTACAACAAAATCTGGTCTACTAATAGAACAGGGAGTACTAGGATAAAGCAGCCTTTCAGCTAGAACCACTTTTATAGGTGCTAGTCATTTGTAATGACTAGTGTTACTAAGAGAGAGAGCAGCGAGAATAGGATAGGACCGCCTGTGCCCAGAGCAGACGATTTAACCTGGAGCAGTAAGTGAGAGAGGCAATGGGGTCATTCAGTGGACACTACTTGCAGCATGGGGCCCAGATAGTGTGCAAGGTTAAAACTGATCGGTACTCCAAAAATTAAAGTCTCTGGTGGGTGCAGCATCCCACTGAAAGGCTGGGATTTAGTGTGCACAAAAAGGCAGTTCATGGTTACCAAGGCAACAGGCCTTTCTGGTACCCAAACAATTTCCCCATTTCTCTGTGCAGTCCATGTTCACAAATGTCCTGGTACTTGACAAAAAATGTTTTTTATAAATGTAGGTTATAATATATCTTTAGAACGTGTTGGCAATCCATTGGTCAGCACAGTTTTTAGATTGACATTTCCGTTGCTTTATTAGATTAGTAGACACACATGCATATTTAGCAATGAACCAGTCCATATCCTTAGAATGTCTCTACAGTACAAAGTGAACCTGTCATGGGGCAAGTCAGAAAGCTTCTATTATTATTATTATTATTATTATTATTATTAGCATGTTCATATGTAAACATACTTTTACGCATTTATTCTTTAACTTTTTTTGTACTTTGAAATCATTAGTCTGCAGGGCTCAAAATTTACACTCACTCCTAGCAATTGGCAAGTAAAAATTTAGCACGTTCAAGTAGAAAAGAATCCTTAATGAGTAGGCCAATGATCCTCCAAGCTTGCAATGGTGATTACATTTTAAGGCCGCCTTTACAATTCGACTTGAAATAGTAAGCCCCGATTCTATATTTACATGCACAAGGAACCATAAATTTTAGGAGATTATAGGCATCACATCAGTTAAAGGGGAAGCAAACACTATGAATGACGCTACTGAACACCACTCAAGTGGCTTCCCCCAGAAGTCTATAATTATAACATGCAAACCCAGAACAAATGATAGGGACTCTACGTATTAACAGTGGCTATTTGTGACATTCTGTGATATCCTTTATCTATACAAAACTATGCTATCATTTTCTTTTTTACATTTCAGGTTATAATTGACCAAAAGTATCAATGTGTGGCTGGT